GTGGTGGTGGTGGTGGTGGTGGTGGTGGTGGTGGTGGTGGTGGTGGTGGTGGTGGTGGTGGTGGAGTGAAAGACAAAACGGGATCGCAAACCAATGGTGAGCAGTTGGGGCTAGGTTGGAAACCAGGTAACTTACGTTGTGTAATGCGAGTTTTGCGAACGGCCTCCAGGTCCTTGAAGTGCTGCGGATCGCCACACACATGCATGAGGAAGTTGACGGACTTGCCGATGAGAAGGATCTAAGCACAGGAAAGAAATCAGGGAATCTGACGTCTCCAGGAAGAACACAGACACTGTCACTGGAAAACGAGATTTTCCTTGCTCGTGGACGCGGAAAACGAGCGTTGTAGTAAAAAAACAGATGTACATGGGCTAGAATTGCTTACAAGCCACGAATCAGCGTAAAAACGCAGACGCAACAAACCTTTCTAGCTTGATCCTTGCTGATAAACACGGGGACCATTGACTTGCGAAGTCCGTATTTTTCGGACCAGAGGTTGTCTTTGTTGGCGGAGGGATTAGTCGTTATAAAGAATTCTTGGTTTGGGTCGCTCGATAGTCGTCCGTCGTAGATCCACAGCGCTATCATCTCGTAGATGGTCCGTGTAACGTCGACGAGTATGTTAGTGAGCATCGCCTTCAACTGCGGTCCACCGTTCTGGGCCATTTCGTAAACCTTCAAAAACAGTGGTTGAAACAAATGAAACTGGAGCCATCCACCTTCTAATTCTTAGTGGCGTTCGACTAGAGCATTGGGCACTACATGTTCCACATATAGATGTTGTCGGGGAGAATTCGATGGTCAAAATAAGAGTGTCAATCACGCACGAGATTTTGGTTCACTTTCAAAACATGAAATAAGCTAGTTCCAGAAATACGACAAATAGCTTCAGGCATCGTGTGCCTAAGTTGGATACTTTGTTTCTTAAGAAGGCGTTAGTTAAGAGCGATTCAGTGTTGACTAATTAGATAGAATTGGCAAAATTGCCGCACATGGAATGGTGGGGTGGCACACCGGAAAAACTATCGCTGACATCGGGTCTCTACTGCAATTACCTTTCCAAGGACAACATTGGCTAAGCTTGAGTATTCAATGAGGCACTACAAAATCAACTGCTAACAGAACGACGAGACAGGAGTTCTTCACCTTAGAAACGAGAGCACCGCCTTTCAAAGATGCGCAGTTATCAGCAAGAGCAGCGAGGATTTTGAGTCGGCGTTTCGGCTCCATCAGCCAATGGGATAGTCGCAACAGCGTCAACGGCTGTCTGCTAGACCCGAGACTACCCTGGCCAGTGTCCGCCAATGAGTAGGTCGACTGCGCAGCTGAGGCGGAGGCGGTAAATTGCCCCGAAGGCGGGGCAACGGCAGTTGCTGTGGTGTTGGCGGTGCTACCGAAGGCCGAAGTATCCTGGTAATTCGACGGGTCGTTGTCAAAGTTCAGTTGGGCCTGGAAGGGGAACAAGATGCAGGTAACCACCATTACTTCAATCACGAGGGTCACGATAAAATACGCAGAAACTGCACTCTTGACTCTGAACCAGGAAGTGTGATGCGTTTCCCCTAGTGGAGGCACTTAAACGTCACTAGCCGAAAACGTGGGTATTTGCTCTACTTGATGGGTGCAAGGGGGTTGGTGGTGGCTGTAGACTTCATAAAGTGGCTAAGAAAGGTCAAATAGACTGACCACCTACCTCAAGTTGGGTGATTAGACGCAGGTATTCAGTCAGTTGTTCGTCAACTGAGAGAGCCAACGAAAGCATAACTTTACCCGCCGCGGGATCATCACGCACACCGTCAATGAACCGTCGTACGCGATTGTAGAGCCAGCCACACACCGAAATGCGCAGTATGTGCGACTGGATGCTTGGGGAGATCACCAGATTCGACGCAGGCTGAAATTCAAGAGAAAGCAGAAGTGCTTATGTCGAGGTGAGAAAGGTAAGAGCAGGTTTGACACGCCGATTGAAAGTTCCAATCGTGGTGGAGGAAATTACAAAAATTCGTCCCTCTACATTGTATTTTGCATTGTGACGATGAGCGTCCGCCCCAAATATTGTTGATCATTCAATAAACGGATATTCTATTTCAAAGGTGAGCACAGGTGCGTGATTACAAGTAAGCTATTTGCGGAGCCCTGAAAATCGAGCAGTGTGCTGAGAAATGAAGATGCACGCACGCACACACACACATAAATCGAGTAATCAAACAGTTCCTAGTTGCATTGCACACAAACGCACGAGTTTTTCGTGATACAAGCAGGCTTTTCGCACCCTGGCAGTGAGGACTTCACTACGAGACGTGGGGCATGGGGTTAAACCACAACTAATCAATGTGTGGATTGTTTATGATACAAACAAGGCACTTCCCGTGACCTTCACAAAAATGGTGCTTTCAGTTGTGAGTTTCAGAGAAAGTTTTCCACCTTGACTAGCAATAACTGCATCCCAAAAGGTGAATTTCGTTCAAATGAAGTGAAAGAAAGTATATAGGTCATTTAGTAAGAGTAAAATAAAAGGAATGAGGCAATGACTGGGTAGAGCAGCGGTAACAACATAAAAAAACGCACCACAAAGGCATCGAGTGTGGGGTTATACTGAATGAGAGTGCCACTAGCACCGGATAGACTGAGAATTGCCTCCCGTAGTAATTCTTGTTCGGCAGGTGAGGTGGTTGATCCAACTATAAGAAGACAAAAGATCGAATATGGAAAATTTTGCTAAATTTTAAGGGAAAGGACTTGCTATGCTTTACAGAGTCACTATAAGTGTAGCACCGAGTCAAATGGGACTGTAATTCAATCGACACAAGAAAACTAAGGCCCTTCCCCAAAAAAGTTCAGTTATAGAACAGGAGGTTTTCATTAGCAAAGGATCTTTGCTTGGTTTACAATAACTAGCCATTGGCTATTAACGAGGATCACTAGCCAAGGAGTCATTTCGGATTGCTGAGAGATGTGACCTGATCTAAACTTGAGCTGCGGAGAACAACACACACCGTAGAAGTACAAACAATTTTGGCTCAGAACCGATATTATGACGACCTGGAAATACGGCATGAAAATGTGCTACGCTGCAAAATTGCGATATTGAGCGGGCATAAAAGATTTGTGCCGAAGGTTAGACACAGTGTAAATGTTCTTGTGGGCTTTCTAAGGAGACATTTTGGTGCTCCACATCGCAAACTAGGCTCCGGCGTTAAATAACACAAGCAGCAAAGATACCGCTGGTTGAGCTTTGTCCGCGAACTGCGCGACGGCTGCCGGTTCCGCGATCGAAAGTGCTCGAGGTTGAGGGAGCGCCCCAAAGAGAAATGGGCGTTTGACTGCCTGACACAAAGCCGCGACCCAATGGGGCCTCTCCGTTGAGTCCGGTGGACTGATTACTATCATAATCAATAGGAAACGCAGCCGTCAGTGCAGAAAACATACACATAAGAAGATCGAGGTTCAGATATATAATACCACTGGCACTAGCAATTATTCGACATAAAAAGCATGAGAGCTTAGGACAGCGGGAAAAGCTCAACAAAGTCAGCAAAGCAGAATTTTATGAAAATACCTAAATAAATACAAAATTCAACCGGATGGTAAAACATCAAAGATGTCTCTCGTAGGTTTCACACTAAAACATTGTGATAGACGTAAAGCAATTTTGAGTAGAAGTGGAGGAAACAGGTTCAATTAGATGACAATAAAGAACCCCTGAGTAGCCTACAATACTTTACGATTGCAAGCAAAAAATTGTACAAAAATTGGGACCACGCACTTTTAGACGAAACTAAGAAATCTGGTACAGAAATATTGTTGACCATAGAAGACCAAAGATACTGTTTACATATACAACAGAACCTACGAATTGGAAGGATTGCCCCTCGACGTATAACCAGTGGACATATTGTTATCAACTCGACGAGGTAAGGCTTCTTTAGGAAGTGAAGACAATGCAGAAAAAAAAGAAGTTGGATTCTCGGTGCATGAAACTTGATCACGCTTCAGCAGGAGTAAAAATACAATGTAGTTCGAAAAATGCTTGACAGATTTCTAAGAAAAGCAAAAATCAGAGTAAATGAACCGGAAAAATCAAAGTGCATCTTTGGGGTCGAAAGGAATAAAACTCACGTGGGACTTGAGGCTTTTCAAGAGACGACGTAATCTAAATGACGTGTGTATAGGAATACTAGGGTTGCCTAAACAGAAGGAAATAGATTAAAGTTAAGCATCGCACTTAGAAGCGCATCTTCTAATTCCAAAACGTTAGTGTAATTTGGGGTAGGCCTGAATAATAGAGAGTGGATTAAGCGACCTACCTGTTTAAAATCTGCAGAGCATAATTCGAAAGCGCATTCGTCCCTGTAAATCAATATACATTTAAAAATGATATAATTTACAATATTCGTTATGTCTATCTCCAGAAAATACTTGAACTAGTCCACGAACTTCACTCTCGAGTATGGCAGTGGACATTCAGGCCTCTCACTTAAATGGCTTGACTAACCGCACCGTTTACCAATGAAAGTGTTGTAATGTGAGAAACAATAAACAATCAAAGGTGCACACTGAACCGCGGCATTTGATCAACATTCCTGCATTTGAAAGCGCAAATACCCTAAACAGGTAAATTAGAGTTAAAAAATTAAAGCGACATAAATGCAAAGATGACCTAGGAATCAATTTACAAGCAAAAGTACCTAACAATGTCAATAAAGGTCTATGAGCTGCTGTAGAATTGAATACGCATTTAAGTAATTTTTTTGCTCAGTATTATTGTACAGAAACGTATGTGGATCTCTATATATTATACTCAATTTTCAAACAAGGCAAAATAGTCATAAGTATTTGGAAGATCTTTAGATTAAATATGATCAGATAAAAATATCCTTTTTTATATACTCATTGACTACGATAGATCCAAGCTGTAAATGCTAAAAATTTTGTAACCCCTCAACAATTAATTTTATATCCCCGTTACCTCGTGAACTTTATTCTGAAATAAATCACATTGCATAGTGCAAGGATTGCAATTATTGAATTGGACTTAAAATTTCGCAACTATTAAAACTGAGGTGGGACTACTGAGTAAGCTGTGTTTGGCTATTAGGGGAGGGTAGGTGCTGAAATGTAGATTTATGCATTCAACTCTTTATATGACCTAAATATTTTTTCGAGAAAGAACAATGGACACGTCTGAAGAATTAATGAGCTAGGTTCAAAACAATAAAACTAGTTGACAATGTTCACGAATTGCAGTATTGATGGTCTGGTTCGAAAAAAAATAATGCGAGTGCTAGAAAAAGGGAGTGAGAAAATAAAACAAGGCCGAACCCCATTTGCCTGACACCTTAACTATTCTTAAAAAAATTATTGTTCGCATTGGAGTCGGACAATTGTGGAGCTAGTTTATCGACGTGAAGGAATTTTGGTAAGCAATTTTGATGTACATTACTGATCTGGTGATAATGATGCAAAGAACACGCAGGAAACGTAAACGTATTTCATTTCGGTCAATAAGTTATGTACTCGAAACAGTTTCAAGTGATTAGCATTGCTAGGACACTTTTAATGAATTTATGCTACCCAGTGAATTGTTTAAGTCAGTGTTAAAAAATAGTTGAACCTAGTTGAGGCGTTTAAGTCGTTGGCTATTAAAGCATTCCAGTTGCAATAGGTGAGTGTATGGTAAGGAGGAACAGTCTAACATCTGTTCGGTCCTTGGCCCACAGGATTTGTTAAAGTCATCTGAGTCTCTTGGCATCGATCTAAGAGTTCTTAGGCAGATTCTTAAAAGTGCAGAACGTTTTTTGATGTTTTTGATTTAAAGATGGACAAACAAATGAGCTGTGTTTATAACAGTTTTATGTCATGGGTTTGGAATTCATGTGAAAGTTAAATAGAAATCAGCCAGATTCCGATTTTTGGAATAGCAATACAAATGCTTTTTTTCCGACTTGGGAGGCTAAATTATAGTTCACTAATGAGCTTGAGTATTCTAGAAATATTTGAAAATCGAAATAATAGATTGTCAATGGACAATGTGACCTAAAATGGATCAAAATTCTCTAGTTAAATTTGATGAAGTCAATTGCAATAAAAATTAAAATAAATAATCTACAGTATAAGGACACGATGTACATCTAATAGGTATCTGTTGCTTTTATAAATAATCCATAGGCTTATCCAATAACACACATTTAACGTCACAAACTTGGTCATCTTCTATCTAAGCAAGATACTTTTCTAGAATGACCAATCCCAATATTTCTAGAATGAGTCCTAGAAACGGTTTTGAGTCTATAAATTCGAGGTAGAAAAACGCACACAGTTTTTTGTAGTGGGTAAATTATTCCTCATTTCGAAATTTGAAAAACGTCGGCTTCATCTACAGTTGGATATGTATATTAATTAAACATTTTTTTCTAACCCCTGGTCTTCTATGGATACTTGACAAATTCGTCCAAATTCAAGGCTAAATCTGGAAGAATTACCACTACCCTACTGTCCCACAATGATTAAGTGTGAAATATCACTTAACAGGCCTAGACCTCATGTGTTGCCAAATTAAAAGAGGAAATATTTAGGCGTTTCCGCTAAATGTGGGCCAAAGTCTGCCTTTAAACCAATTCACAACCAGGGAAATTTTCTCTCCTACATTCACGTTTCAGACCGGCACGTAGATTAAGTTGGACATCTTTCACTTTCCTGTGGACTCACCTGTATGGGGCATTTTACCCGTTGGCCGACATCAATCCCCATTTAAGACGTTGGAACCGAAACTCCTGCCCTCGCATTCGTGGAATCAAGTGTACTGTCATTCGATGTTCCCAGTACTACTTCCTCTGTTTGCGGAGCACAATTCACATTTTGCCTGTATCAGGATTTAAACTGTTTTTTGGATGTAAACATTTTCTTTCCACAGCATGTCACTCAGCATCCAGGAGAATGATTAAACGTTGCCATCGTCTGTTGAAATCAGCTATTATTGCAAAGTCGGTATCTACTACCTGGAACAATGCATTACCGTTAATTACCCATTCGCAATACCGCAAAGGAAGACTCCAAGCCATCAAAATTTGTTTTTGGTAAAAACTCTACGTCTGCCAGATAAAATGGTCTCAAATTCTTACAACAATATTGAAGTTCTTTTTATATTCTACACTGGTTGGTTGGAGTGCTTCATGAGGGTTTCCTCACAAAAGACACTTATTCAGTCAGATTTGTTTTCTTCTCACCATGATTTTGTCCGTGATGATCCCTTTAGAGTTGTACGGCGCAAAGACATGTAACTCATTATTAATCAAAATAATTCCCAGGACACTGTGAGCGTAGACCGTATGAAAATTGACTATGCGGCAATAACGTCTTCCCCTCAGACCAGAGTAACGACGATGTTACCCTAACCTCTTCCATATCTCCACCTTATCACGGCATCTGAGATTACCAGTGTGCTTTGCTGATTCAGTAGGACTGTTTTCGAGCATTAACTATGTCCTGCCGCTAAAATTCTTGGAAGGACAGTCAGGGAAAGTGCGTGAGTAAAGCTTTTTCGTAAATTGATCAGGTGTTAATGCCACTAAATACTACCACTAGTCACCTATTAACCATACTCACAAACCCTGGAGGAGATATAGCTTGTCTGACGTCAACAAACGACCGTTTCCGGTGCCACCTGTCTTCTGTCTGTTCTCGGATTGTTATAGGCTGCTAGCTAGCAGGGTTGTAAAGTGGTGTAACAAAGCCGATACAGGTTCTGTTAACAGACCCTAAGTCGCACACCCTCCTAACTCAAGCACCCTGAAACTAGGAGCTCACTTCCCTGAGGTAAAGAGATGTCTCCACTTGACGAGCGAAAAAAGGGAGACACATTGTGTGGCTATTACCTCCAAGGACCGATTTCGTCTCAGTTCGCATTACAGCATGATTTGAGTCATGAGCGCACAGACCACAATGGAGTTCCTGGCGCCCACCCCAACAACGCAACCAGTCAATATGAACGAGGCAACACACACATTTCTAATCTAATTTAATAAACCATGGTTCTTTCAATATTCCTAAAATAACTGTACAAAAGGAGGCGCATGTTGATTTAGTTTTGGGGTTCTGATGATTCGCAGGGTGTGAGTGACGGCGACGAGGGCTGATCGATCGGCGTCGATGAGTACGTGGTTGTGGTTGAGTCCGGGTGGAAGGAGATCACAGGCAGGTTGTACGGCGACACACTGAATTTGCCCTTTCTCTTGGCATCCTCATTGTTCTCCTAAAAGAATAAGTCATCACAACACTTAGTGCCAACCCCGAAGCAGGACGAGAAAAAAGCATTAAAATTGCAGATACGCCAAAACCCACCCACTGCTCGCTCAGCTCCAGCATCTTCGCCCGCAGCAAGCGTATGAGTCCGGTTTTGACTGAGCTGGAGTTCCTCGCCTGCGCGTCCAGAATGGCCTCGGAGTCGCACTTTTTGTCGGGTTTCGAATTCGGACCGTACAACTCCAGGAGGTCGGCCCAGGTTTTGAGTTGGGGATGCAGCAGGGCCAGCATCTGCTGGGCTGCGTGGTGCCGACCGATACGCTTATTCCGACACTGCACCTGAAGTCAGGCAGAACGGCAACATAAGCACTTATGGCACCACAAGGTGGTCGTTAGGTTTAGCTGCAAAACGACGTTCGTGCAAACGTGAAAGGCGACCGAAGAAGTATCAAAAGAACGAGAGACCTCAGCATTAGGGCTGAAATTACGAGTTGCAGAACATCAAAAACAACCTGGCGAGTAAAGGTAATGGATGGAGCACGATAGGCCAACCCAACTCTATAAGCGCTTCTAGCAGTGTACTTTATTACGGTTCTCAGTTGTCAACAAGTACTGCAAGCATCCTACGCAACCGCCTCATTGAGTGGTTAAAAATTGTCACTCGTGGCCCACTCCGAATCTCAAGTAACAATGGCGCAAACTGGTTTACAACAACGTCAAAGAGTCAACCAGTTTACCCAATAATTGTCGTCCAATGGGCGAGTGATAGCGTGGCTAAGCCAATTACCATTTAGCGGGCACGATGTCCGAGGTCCCTGAAAATGGTTGGTTCCCCATCAAATAACAACCTTAAGGACTTCAAAAGCACCTTCATTGTGCAAAATTGGCACTTAAGCTGGGATATTTACGTGAAAAGATGCGCTAAAAGTACCTGGGCGATTTTGTGCCTACACTAGAAGCCTACTAGCTCACCTTGACGTTGAATTCGCCAAGACTGAGTTCGAACCTATGGCGGTTGCGACCAAGCGGGGTCATTTTCGACTGGACATCGCCCTCCGGAATGCAGTGGCGCTTGATGTACTCGCAGAAAATGGTGTAGGGGGAAGCGCAACTCAGGCGGTTGGCACTGGTTAATTCGTAGACCTGTTTGTCGGTAATTCCGATGCTCCTAAAAGCCTCCAAATCAGCATCGGGCAGGGCGTTTGCACTTGACTCGGAGGCGTGCGAAGTATTCTGCGTTCTCGCATCCCATAGCTCCTTGTACTCAGGCAGGAGTTCAAGCAAAGCCAGACGAGCTACGGGCGATATAAGATAGACACGGAAAATCACAGTGCCGTATTTTATTGCAACTGTTAATGAACGATGGATTAAACAGCATTTGATCTTACTGTACGCAACTTGAAGTTAACTGAGCCCTTTCTAAAGTGTCTTTTGCACTTTAGAAAAGAATGCTTACCTCTGACACGATTTATTAACTATGGCTTGATTGAACTGGTGTTCAGAGAAATGAATGTGGCTGGGCAAGACTACTAGGGATGTCAACTTGACCAATATGGAAGAGGCGTACATGATGGGAGAAAATGGTTTGGACGATGTCCATTTTAAAGCAGCGGATACACTTTTGATGGCAGTAGAATCCAACTTCTATCCACGCACAACAGCGGTGAACAACAGACAAAAATGCAGACACAAAAGGCTACTTGGAGTTTGTGTTTTCTTACACTAAATCACTTTTCTTAAAAACGAACCCGTAGAGCATAAATCAAAGCTAGCGTTACATGACTAGATGTGGTGGTCGGACACTTTTCATCACTTATTAACGAAGTCTGGATTCGTTATTTTCTCAATGATTTTCGATTCACACTCGAGTTAGAATGGTTTAAAGGAGCCAAACGCACAAGGATTTCGTAGAGACAAAACGGGAACTCACCGGCTTCCGACCGAGCCGCCTTCTTGCTGCTACCCGAGCCCGTAGGATAGGTCACGTCATTCACAACTACCGCATAACGGAAGAGGAGTTTGTCGTGCTCAACGACGCTCGGTTTGAAGGTTACTTGGACCCTCAGCACGTTTTGACAGTACTCGTGTAGCACGCACACCGGCGACTTGCCGATCAGGCTGAGAACGCGTTCTAGAATTCAAAGGTGAGGGAAGACGACTTTGGGGGAAGCGCAAAAGGCCACAGCAACCAGCCCCCCAAAAGTGTGAACTCCACGCAAGTCATGAACACACTCACACTTCGTCACTTGCGGCCTTGAGATGTGGTTGAACAGACAGTTATCAGGTCAACGTTCAATGCAAGGCTACCATGTGACTGCAGTGCATGGTGTCCGCCGGCCCAGTCAAAAGAATCCAATTCTGAGTAGGAGTCACATCATATAATACGCTACCCCCCAATCTGCCCACATTATTTTACTAGTCGGACACGCGCGACGGGCGACATTCCAGTTTATTATCAAATGAGCGTGAGCATTATCAGTTTCCGTGTGTTAGCCAAACAGCCACGCTTTGAAGTAATGAGCAATTCTTCCTAATGAAACATATATGAACAGTGAATAAACATATTGTTCAGGTGCTTGTCTTCCGATTTAACCGATTGGAAGGGAACCGTTCAGTTGCGACCCTATAGGAAAAAAAACGTTGAAATAGGCCCACCACACACAACTCACCTTTAGCTCGTTGGCGCATTGCACAGGCCTCGGGATCATCGGTCTAGGAGGTGAAAATGAGGTCCAAATTTATGCATGCTTTGTGTTTACGAAGCAATTGCAGACAGGGTGTTGAGAACTTACACCATCACCAGTGCCTGCCACCGTCGTCGTCGTCGTCGTCTTTCGATTGGCCTTCTTCATGCGGTAGAACCGCAGGCGCTCCCAGCGGTTTCTAAAGCCAAGAGAGAAGGCGAAATGACATCGGCTTTCAAGGACATCGTCCAGGAGAACACTCTAAGACCCCACTGAGAGGAGAAATAAGACTAAACAACACAAACCTGAAAGCAACAGCGTTTTCTTCGTGAAAGTTGAACAGTTTACGGCAGTATTCACGAACTTCCTCAGGACTTAGGAGTTTCGCATTCTCCATGTCATTGTAGACTTTGCGCTACCAGGACACAAAGAGGCATGCAATGAGACAGTAATACAGAACAGGCAATGGTTTGGGTGTGGTAAAAATCGAAGTAAAAAATTCTTACTTTGATTCGTGAGGTCCGTTTCGCCATCGTTTCCTTCTGGCCCGCGTAAGTGGATTCCTCGAGGACAAGGCCATCCCCGTCAGCTTTGCCATCAGTGTCTGAGTTTTCACTCATTTCTGTCAAGTTACATCAAAACTTTCTTGTAGTTACATCACGCTACTGTGACATGAACAAATGCAAGTGATCCCACTAGCTTGAATAATCTACTAATTTATTGGTATAAGCGCTGGAAAGTGGAATTAATTATTTCAGCTTTACAGTTGACACATGAGCCAGATCGGATAAATCCAACACAACACACGTAACATTCAACAGAGAGGGACTAGTGAAGCAATAAAATTGAAATTTAAGATGGAGGACAAAGTCGCGTTTATCCAAATCTGACAACTGGCAGGTGGGTGAGTGTTTAAACTTATAGCGTAAATTCCGCCTCGACTGGACTTGCACCACCGAACAAAATAAGTCACCTTCACTGAGCAGAGGGCGCTTAGAAGGAGGTGGACCATCATAGTCGTCAGCATTCACCATCTCATCGTCCTCATCTGAAGTTAATTCTCCCTCCTCCTTCTCACTGTCACCGCCATCAGAGCCATCTTCTTCATCGTCCGCCTCATCTTCACCAAGACCTTCAATCGGAGAAGGAGGGGAAGCCTTAGTTACTTGAGCCGTAGACCCGTCTTCTTCGACTACTTGTGACCTGGTGGCAGATTCTTCCTTGGCGGGTTTAGAAGTGTAATTCTATAAAGAATGCAGTAGAGATGTTCAAACAGATTTTTCTGCAATCAGCTAGACGTTTTCCACAGAAACGCACATATAATTATTCCCAAATGAACTAGATCATCATTAATCGCGGAGTAGTTGAGCCACAACCAAGATACCTAACTTAAAGAAAATTAAGGGCACCGTAACAAGGACAGCTAGGACCATTCAGAGTTTTAGAAACACCGACCAGATTATATTTTTGATTTAATGTCATTAAGTTTACCAAGGCATTAAAACAGGACAATCAGTTACCTGCGACTGCATAGATCCATCAGAACAGGCGGTCTCGTTGGCTTTTCTCTGAAGATAGTTCAAACAAGGGATGGCAAACATGGGAATTTGTTGGCATCTTATGCTTTCAGAACCGATAGTGAAGGGTCGGGAGAGAGTAACAACTCTAGTTAATTGGTGTAGGTACAACATTATTCCGGAGTCATGTCGAATCATCACCCAGTTTTCTGGAAGACCTCTTGGGTTAAGAGTATCGTAATCTACAAATTACAAGACAGCGAGTAAGCGAATGAAACCATACGTCAGGATAAAAATATGTATTGCGCAATTACCAAGATAACAATGATAAGCTTAATGTTTCTTGATTTAAGAAAAAATTGCCACACTAAGCAAAAAAATTTTCCCTTCAGCATAATGCTATAAGAATATCTTGACATACACATTCACAAGGAAACTAGAGAACAGAATTTAAAATATGTCATTTGCCACAACTAGGTTAAAAAGAAAGTCACTGCATGGTTTTTGCAATTAGTTTGCAACACAAATCCTACCACAGATACAAATTTATACTTACCAGAACGACTGATTAAGTCCAAAATATATTCTGAACCCGAGGTTGCAAATCAGTGTTTACATTTTTTTAACGATTATAAGTGCAAAAGGTGTCATACAACAATTAGAATAAATCCAAATGAACTAGGGTTTCAGCTTACCTGAAATAATATACCGCTTTACGGTTCGCAAGTTAATATCTTCCCCAGCTGCTTCACATGGTGCGTTTTCGGGATCAGGTCTTCCTTCAGATGTACTGTTCTGACCTGCTGAAGCCGCATTTGGACTCATAGAAACGAAAGGGCCAGTGTTGGACATGAGCACAGACAAAAACCAAACAGCAAGAAAAGCACCTCTCAAGGGCTGATTACCTTGTCGTTTTTTATTGATCTAAACAAACAAAGAAAAACAAATTATATTTTTCTATCTTTTTTTAAAAAAAGCTATTAAAAATGTAAAGTAAAAGCTTAGAACCCTAGGTTTTGGTATGTTTTTTTCTTACCTGTGTCCCAAATACGTGATTTATTAAGTTGTTATTTCGCAATTCGTAATAGATTGAGGTTGCGTTTGCATGCACATCAGTAATGTCATGTATTCTTCGTGCAATAACTTTTTTGAATGCTTGTTAATCACTCGATTAAATGAAAATGTTGAGTTAAATTTGATGTTTCTTAAGCATTCCAATTCAGTGCAAGTTCCTTGAGGGCTGGGGACATGGATGATTTGCAAAAATGAGTGTGCAGCGTGGAAGCATGGATCGCGCACTGTCTCATTAACCCCTATGCTAGCTATGGAGCGAGTAGATGTGAAGGAGGGCTTTATCTCTGTGGAATACGGATTGAATTTGTCGCGCTGCCGAAGAGAATTACTGGATTTTCATTTAAGGTACCTTCAATTTTGCCAAAACCAAATGCCTCTGTTCAACATGGTTCGTAAAAATTTCGCAATCGCATTTATTGGATGATTGCACTATATTGCCAGCCTTGGGCTTTGGAACTTATGTCCTGTGTTTTTCCATTAGTATAAATGTTTTGCACACCATTATCATAAGCTAACTACTTGAAATATGGAATTCTATGACCATGAAAACTTTTCATCTTAGATTACTATCGCAATAAGTCTGGAAATAAATTCCCAGACCTCTCAGGTCTGTTCTCCCTATTACCTGATTGGCGACAACTCAGTCAAAATTCGGTTCAACTTAAGTCTACAGGTTGTACGACAATATTGAAAGTAAATTGAAGGATACCTTTTACATTAGTTTTCAGTAAACAGGCAGATGAATGCAAAATCAAGGATCGGGTAAATGCGATAGGATTTATTGTCCCGTAAGTGGGATTTTATAAGATGATCGACTGAACTAATTTCACACATTTTATTTTGTATGAGTTGAATTATTAATCAGCAAATCCATACACACGCGCAAACCCCACACACGACACCAACGTGGTTGAGCTCTGAGGTAAACGGTTGTGTGGACGTCATCTCCGATCTTTCTTTTTTTTCATCGCGAATATCGTGGAAACCTAATCTGGCCAGGGTTCATTCCGTGGCCCCGGCGTGGTTCAAGATCACATGCTGGGGTCCACAACTATCCTCACACCTAGGTCTCGGTGTTAGCGCGTGTGACTCACGCTTCTGAGGCATAAATGCCACCCACGACACGACACTAACGTGGTGAAGTTCCGAAGTAAACGGTTGTGTCCACGTCCTCTCCGGTCGCTTTCTTCATCGCTGGTATCAAGGAGGCGTAATCGGACCAGGATTAATTCAGTGGCTCTGACGTGGTTCAAGACCACATGCTGGGACCCACAACATGCGCATGCAGCTTCCATCCCCGAAAAAAACATGCCATCAATCGTGGATGAGTAATTCCACTGCCAAAAGATCATCTAGAACGAACTTAAGCGTTTCAAGCCCAGGGACTCGATCAAAATCGACGCCTTGAGACTCTTTTTGCATTTCCAACGCTCAAGCATTTGGGAAACTCACGAAAGTAATACAGCTGACAACTTGATCTAAACAAACATTTTCCGAGTCTTGTTGATTCAAAATACACAGTAAATGCTTGTCTTGACTACGAAAATCGGACATGACCTATCAATCACTCAAAAAATTGCTAATGAACGGTCCCACATAGGTATAAATTTATGAAACAGTCCTTGGTTTTGTCGTGAAGGCTAGGGAAGACAGTAAAACGCGGAAGCACACGGTTTAATGTGCTAAAAATCACTGATAAGAATACATACAGAAGTTTAAATACACAATTTGTGTTTAGTCGGCTTCCATAGCTTCTTCCATGTCAGCAACAGCTTCGTCTGCCGACTCATACACATCGCTGGTAGTCTCTTCGTGGTCTTCGGCCATTGAGACGTCAATCGACTCAGCTCCGCCGCCGCCACCACCGCCCAGCGCTGCCGTGAACGGTTGGGACGGGGAGAAAACGGCTGCTGGACAGAAATCGCTGTCCACTTTGGACTTTGGTAGGTCTGTGAACAAATATTACGCATTTATAGGGAGCTCATTATTGAGTTACACGCCGTAGCACACCACGAGCTCGCAGAGATAGAGGTTACCAAAATGCGTAATTTTGAGGTTCATTAGAATGGGCTCTGATGAGACAGCTTTAGCAGTTTTAATAGTGGTAGTGTGCTTGTTAAAAACAATGGTTCCGGTTTTCCCCACGACTGGTGACCCCAGGCGTCGTCAGGTAAGTTTCATCGAGCCAGAATCTGTTTATTAGCATAATTTACATTCCGAAGCAAGCCAATTGGCACAGTTAGCCACTTCACGAAAAGTAATTATCCAACCCGATCAGACCCTGATTGATGCGGAACCGAGTTACGTGATGGGGGAAATCAGAACAAGCCACTAGTGGTAACTGCGAGGACCCACGATCGATGATTTTGCTTGTTCGTAGATCGAATGAAGGGGCGTAATCACTTACTTGCAAAGACGTTTTCATCCATTTCCTGGAGGGGGAAGTCGATTTTATCGACGGCGAAAATAGGCGGCATTGAAGGCTCCGCAATTTGGGCGTCGCTCTCCGGAGGCAGAGTGTAGTGTGCAAGCTTGCCACTGTGGAAGAAGGCATAACACGGAACTAAGTAGAAAGCGCACATAATCGACGTAGCACATTAAAACGAGAAGTGGTGTTAAAACAGCCACAGCTAGCACGATCCGGAAGTGCGATGTTGATTAAGGAGATAAATACAAAACCGGTGGGGTGGAGAATAAGTGTAAAAGATGTGCGCCCGGTGACAATATAACTAGACAAAATCGAAGCGAATTTAAACCTGAAATCAATTTCTTTATGCAACTCAACACTTGGAATTGACTTATCAGAGTATTACTACCATTGATTTTTGGGGGAAGTGCAAATTGCACCTTTCACGGCGTATAAATAATATGACAGCATAGCTTGAGGCAGAATTCCCATAAGCAAGTATCGACACAACCACTAACTTTTAAAATTAAACTAAAAATTCGAAGATACTTCCTTGATTAAAGAACGCATCCCATTGCTTCAACTGCAAAAGATGTCCAGAGAAAGGTTAGTGACCCCATTGGAATGGGAACATCGAGTCTATGCTGAAAAGGAGATGCGTTGGCTACTCTAGAAGTGGCATAAGACGTAATCGGTCACGATTTTTTTTTGCTTCTTATTCACACGAGAGGTCTTGGAACAAGCATCATTTTCAAATAATTTTAACCAAATGATATTTTTTCCTGGCATTTTGAGAGCGCAACCACGGGGAATGCTATTCATCAACTACTGCTTGAACCCTGTTATTTCAGCGCTTAATCCAGCATGCAATGAAGACACGAATCGAAATTGGAGATAAAGTATAAAAGAAAAGGATACATACGTCATCCAATCTGACAACAAGATGCGAGCCGAACCCTTGATGTCTGGGGCGCCACCTTTTCGTAATCGTCCGTTTCGCTGAGCCATTTGACAGAGGAAATCTGTGGTGCTGGAGTACTCCCCGATGGCGTATTGCACCATGATTTGACGCTTCGGACATCGCGCCAGAATTGCCGATACGGCCAACTCAGGCTCGCTAAGGCTTTCCGGCTATGCAAGAAAGAGTCAAACTTTCGAATTGCCATGACCGACGTTTTGATAGAATTAAGGGTTATGTCAATTACTCACAAGGCTATAACATGATCTAGGAAAACAAATGGGTATTTCAAGTGGCATTACTTAGTCTTAAAACCATATCATCCCTGTCGAATAAATACAACTGCCAATAACGAGGATGCGTGTGGCCGTTGGATCCAATCAAAATAAACGACAAGTGCAGTGTAAAAATAGAAATGAAGGAATGGTGCCAAGAATTGACAAAAGTTGTCAAATATACCCTTAATACTGGACATAATCCGAATGCCAAAAAACCCATTAATGGGTTAAAAAAGAAATAATTGGAAATACTAAGTCCTAGTTACGGTTCAAATACATCTTGTTACGGATCAAAGAACAAGGTCATTTTCAACGCACTTTTGCACAGTTTCGAAGGGCAAGTTCACACGGGTCTTCAGACTTAGATAAAATAATGCCAGGGGAGTCGACAAGACTGACTTTGCTATCAATCTTGAATAGCTGGCAATCTCTTGTGAAGCCCGGGATGCAGCTGCTTGGAGCCGATTTGCGACGAATAAGGGTGTTGATAACTGCGCTCTTTCCAGTATTAGGAACTCCAATAAGACCAACAACCAGTTTTCCCCCATGATGTCGACATATATTGCCTAATAGTGCCATCAAACCATCAACACCAAGACCGCTAAAGGAGGAGTGAGTGTATGACACAGGATACCATTTTGTTGAAACATAACCATGTTGTGACATGTTTCCCTTGATATTCGATAGTATTTTTGATCCTTCCTGGGTGTTGGCCTTGAACGGCATGGTAGTGTACCATTTGCGGAAATATGCCAGCCAACGTCGCACAACTTCACTGGGGACAAGATCTTGTAAAACTGTGTACACAATTTGAATCCTTACCAATTTTGTTCAAAAGTAGAACCAGTTTTTTTCCATAAGCCAGAACCTCTTTCTCGGCATTAAGACATCGAGTTCCGAGGGGGTCACGTGCATCCAGTACTTCGATAACAACGTCAGATTTACTAAGCACGTATGAAAACTGCTTCGAGAAACTGACAGCCGCGTGCTTCTTAGGTGGTTTTTCTTTGACGTCGTTAACCTTCATTGCCTGCTGCAGCAGGGACAAGCGCCGTTCAGCCTCAAGCTAATTTAACAGTTTGCTGTGCGATTTAGCGAAAGTACCTTTTTAGTTTCTTTAATATGATCAAGGATTTGTTCCTTAAAGGGAAGGGAGTTTGGAACACCAGGATACTTTCCTAAGGCACAAAAAGATACAATTAAAGACAGTACTTCTAAACAGCTTTGGATTTTTTTTCTTTTCCTTTTTAAGCTTCCGGTGATGCTCCCGAACCTTCCTGAGAATCTTGTATCTTTTGTGACAGGTAACACGCTTGCTTTTAGTTTCTATAAAAATAAGTGCAAAATTTATAATACGTACTTCTGCAGCTCTTAACCATATCGAAACACGTGAATCACGCCCACAGAATACAAATTAGCGCCTTGTGAGAAATAGAAAAAAGCGCCAAATTACCAAAGTACAAAACAAGCATTGAAGTATTCAAATTTTCAGCAAATAAAAAATGACATGTAACAGCAAGTTGTTAACATAGAGGATAACTTTGGTTATTGTTAATCTCCTTAAAAAACTACAAGAGGTGTCATTATTTAAAATATACTACTTTCATATTTCGTGTTAATACGTAAGCAAGATACTTGGGTCGCACAAGAAGATCACTGCAAGTGGAACCATGAAACTTAAAACTAATGCAACGGATATTAGGTGAATTTTCTAGTACAATGCAACTAAAAGCAAAGTTCGTTATTCCTATCGATACGGAGGGATTAAACCTTGCCAATGTTCCAGAACAAAATTACGAGTGGCTACGAATGAGGTTAGAAGCTGATAATCACTGTCCGTTCTTTAGTTTAAGCGCGTAATGTTTTCTTTTCGGTACATTAGCTGAGCGTCTGTGTACTTCAGAAGTAATTCGATGAATTTTCTAAAGTCAACTTCAAGAGACAAACTTAGGGAATTTTCACAAGTTTATCAAATATTTTCGATAACTGTAGCCGGAGTTTAGACTTCATATTAGAGCTCCAGTTACCTAATTACCTGCCATTTGCCTGTTATAGGAAAACATTGCATCTTTTGTATATATAAATGAAAATTTTTTTGAGTAATCGCGAGTTTAATTTAACTTTCGTTAAGTTCATGTCTAATTAGCTGGCGTTTGTAAAGATATATATATATAGGCATATCCACTCTTCCGTGGTTTCGGCTACGTAAACTAAAGCCATCCTCCATGCCAAATTAATCGAAATGTGTTTGAGAAACTTTGCTCAAGTTCTAAAAGCTCTTTTTATGTTTGCATAAAATTTGAGAAAGAAAGTGGCTTTTTTTTCTGTTTTGATTGATTATTATCAATCGTAGGCTGTCCATATGTTCACTAACCGCCAATGTTATTTACGTGAGTTGAGCGGCTGGTGGTGAAGTAACCGAGCTATAGAGTGAAGAAAACGGACACATCAGTGCAGGCATCATTGGCTTACCTAAATCCGGGAGCGTCCGTTTCCCAGATCCTACTCAAGTCTGCTAAACTGGCTACTTAGTCCATTACATTGTGCTTCACATCCTTCCGTCTTTGTAGCTGACTGTTCCTCTCCCTCATAGGCCATTCAAATGTCCTCAGAGGATTGGATGAATCTGGCGATATCCCATTTGTCAGCACTTCACGTAAAATTGTATAGCCTCTGAATTCAGTCATCCCTCACGTTAATGGATTTATCAAGGCCTACCACTTTCAGTGCATTCTTTAAGCAAATATCGTCCCCGACTGTTGTAACGCACAGTATTTTCTGCAACATTTTACATCCACGGCACCGAAATTTGGTATTAGTCCGTGGGACCACCTTGGAAATCTATGATATTCGTAGAAGCGGGTATTTGTTCTACTTAGTTACTAATCTTCCAGTGATCATGAGTACCTCGCGTTTGTTACAGGCACATCATTATATGAGGAGGTAAAAGACATCTCTTATGTTCGCTTTTACGGCGACCAATTGGACTCCATTCTGTTAAGCTTTAATGAAGCCAAGGTATCCGTTTCTTGTTTTATCTATCGGCCTAGGTGACTGCAATGAACTTTGATATCCATTCGTATGAGTTAAAAACATGTTCACTGCATACGTACGAGCAGTCATCTCTCAAGGTAAATTCTCTCATCGAGCTTATCATTGGGCTCACTTCTTTCACGCATAATTATTGTGTATATTCAGGGTGGTAGGCTACAATTTACAAAACCTCCGTTGCTTCGGGTTGATCCGCTTCAGCGATGTGCTGTGATGCTTGTTTACGATAAGTTTCTTGCAGTTTTGCCCTTCCGACGGGCGGACGCTCTCACATCAACAGAACAACTTAGCGAACCTCAATTTGCTCCAACAGTGGATGCTGCTTGGCAGAATAAGGCTACAGCGCCTATTTTATCATCATTTACTACGTTTCTCAGCACATCAACTGGCGAACGCATAAACAACGTAATTGATATGCAGTTCCTTTATGGATTTTATGAACCAACTCTATTCGTGCTGTATGAGCCTGTTGGAACATGGGCCGGGTAATTTATGTGTTGGGTAAAGTAATTTAAGTTTAGTCGTGTATCAGCTCGACGTGACACCTGTTGTATAGTCGCATTATCGCTCAATCTTCAAAAGCGGACCAACCCTGTCATCTGGTTTCAGGAACTGCTGCCATATGATTGTCACACAGTTTTACCAATCCCAATGCCTGTTGGTATGTCCCTGTTGCAACACTTGCGTTTGTTTACGTCACCCAGTCTAAAGTACTTGTGTCTTTCTTTTGTAGGAGGTGTTGTCATAATTGCCACGAATTCCATTATATACCTGAAACAAACTCTCCCATCTCGGGGTCTTCCTTTGAACTGCTATGCTAAGGCGTCAACAAATTTTCCACTCCGTAAGTTAGCACCCTTTTTTTCTATTTGTCTTCTGAAAAGCTCGCTGACTAATTTGTAATGTTTGTGCCTTTTTACAGGCCAGGATGTACCTTCTTGTGGTCCCCTTTCTCTGGACGCTTGCCACGCTGCTTTACTGTCACCTTCTGAAATCCTCATTATCTCCAGGACTGGCACATTCTACATCCTCACTTTGTTGATTGAAAAGGCCACGCACACTGTTACCAAACTAATCCTCTCCCAATCGGGCACATATTTGCCGGCGGAAACAGTGAGTAACTCTGTTGAACCAAATTTCTTCCATGTTTGATATTCACTTCTTGCCCATCCTGGTTATTGTCTTGCGTAGATTACGGTTATGGATGACAATCATCTCTTTGTCGGATCCTGCCTATCCGACTCAATGCTTATGAAGTATCGTCTCACCTCGACGTCTTTATCAGATTCACTGCAACTCATCACCAGTTTTAATGTCAACGAGCAAGACAAAGGCTGCATTCAAGAGGTTACTTGTTATTTTTGAGTTTGTGGAAAGTCTCATCAGGCGCGTAATCGTCTCTTTTTTATCCCAGGCAAAAAGCCCTCAGAGCAAAAGGTCCCGTCTATCACCTGAGTCAGAAATCTCGGCTGCAGCGAACGGTACCCCTGCTTCAGGTGAAACAGATGCGGAATTGTACGGACCCTCTTTACCAGCACTATCAACTCAACCAGTTGTCATTGTTGAATACATTTTCGAGGTCAGTGGTATATCGTGTTGGTGCCTATGTAATGTCCATGTGTTATTTTAAATGCTCTAGTGTTTGTAAAATTTCGTCTTTTTATGAATTCTGGTGTCATTCCGGTGTCATTCAATGAAAGTCATGTTTACGAATAGTTATGTTCATTATTGTGGAGTTATTCATTTCAAGTAAGCGCCATAATGTGAATACTTCGTTAAGAGAGGTGAAAATTAGGAGGCTTGGATGTGAACAACCATCTGTGTAAATCTAAGCCGGTAGTTCTAAAATGCTTCGAAGTAGCGTCCGAGTGCAACTCGTGTGCCACTTGTGCGACCCCCTAATGTTAAATGTGGCATTTTGTTCACCGAAAAAAACGATGGTCATCTTTTAAGCGCCATTTTCTCATCTTCACAGCTGCTTATCACGCATTTTTAAAGCCTATTCTAATTGAAACAAGCGTTTCCTTATGAAGCGCCAAGCAATTGACTTGGGCATCCGGGTTTCGCGTATATTTCCTTGAATTTCTCGAAATTAGTTCTTCTTATGGAACACTTTGCCCTCCAGATCCCTTGATCCGGTTTAAATAACCCTCCCCATGAAGCGATCTTCTGTCATCTATTGTATGAACAATAGATAACAGAGAACAACGTGACCCAGATGTGATCGGCGTTCTATTATACAATCTTAAAGCAAATTTTCTCAATGCATATCAATATTCGCCATGCGGTTAAGACATAGTTCAATAGAAAGATAACTTTGTCCCATTTACTGGTATGTTTTAATAGTAATAATTGCTTAGTTACTTCGTGATCAATAACATAAATGGGATTTCATTTATCATTTGCAGTCGACAAAACGCTGTCGCAAATTCTTTGGAGACAGTTCATGTGAGGCTCATTTTTCAATCGCTGAAGCCTCTCTGTTCTTTTTCAATTGACGCACAACAGTTGTGATGGAATGTTTTGTAACTGCAGACTTCAGAATCAAGAGCTTCTGAAATGCCTGCAACTGTAACACTTCACTACTGTAGACGCCTTGAAGAGACTTTGCTGCTTGTCGCTCCTTGGCTGGTTCATGGAACTCATGCAGTGGAGCGTTTCTTATGTGAAATCTAGGTGGAACGTATTGAACTTTATGCACCGGACGTAGATGACCTAGACGTCATTGGTACAAATTGCCATCTGAAGGTAGAATCAGGGATGGATTCTCAAACATTCGTATTAGAAATGAACGTAATGTTTTATGGTTTATTTACTTACATTGGCTTTCATTGACATGAATGCCTTCGACCTTCGCGTGAACAATGGTTGCCAGAACATACTCCAGCATTTTCGCTCATTCTCTTGCACAGCCGCTAGACACCCTGCGGAACATCGGGCCAATGTCTGCCATCACAGCCGGCGAGGTGCCGTGTCTGGCGACTGGGCACACCGACCCAACTGACGAGTCCCTGCTCCAGGCCCAGACGGAGCTCGCGCACACCGAACTCATCGCCTGCGTGGCCCGCAGAACCGGCTGCGGCTCGGGCATCGTGCAGCTGCACCGCAGTGTCCGCGCCCAGGGCCTGACCGCATTTGAGCTGCCCGAGTACAACAGTCTGTGGTCGCTGTACGGCCCGCCCGTTGGCACCTTCACCAGGTCGAAGGAGGACGAGGTGAAGAGGGAGGCGGCGGCGGCGACGGCGGAGGAGGGGGATGGGGAGCTGGAGAAGTCGGGTGCAGATGAGGGGCAGGGCGAGAACGAGTCGGAGGCGCAGGGCGACCCTACTTCCACAACAGAGGCGGGCGGTGCAGGTACGCCAGTGAGGTCCAGGTCGCTGATAGCTACCATGTGTCTTCCCATTTCTGCCCTTCCTTTTCCTGAGTTTTAGTGTAGATGTGGATTTGGTTTTTGTCGTTCTAAACACGCTATAAACGATTTGCGTTTAAAACAACCTATTTGTTAAAGTGAATATGACACGCCGAAATTGCAAAGAAGAAAAGGGGAATCGGAACGCTCGACGACGCGTCCGTGTTATCCTAAACAATAAATATTACGACAATAAATTGGGTAAATAATGAATGGTAATCTGTAAACATTTAGTGATGAATCAGGACTGACATGGTGTAAATGTTACGTACGCTGTTTCAATTTGTTTGTTTAGCCGAATCTGCGGAGGTAAAACCATCGCCTGAAATCGACCAACCGCCTACTCCCGAACAGCTCGACGCAAGTGGGCAGTCATTGGCTGACGGGGAGAACATCAATGAAGAGAATGAAGTCACCACTACTGAGGTGACAGCGGCAACGCCTCCAAGTACCCATCCTGTTCACAGTTATCTCCTACTAACTCGTGAAGATTCGTCCATGGTAAGTCTTTGGTCAAGCGATGTGCCAACCTAGCATCCCATGTCATCGATTTCTGATCATTTTGATAACCGTCTCGTCATGTTGTTGGGGTCACGTTAAGCAGGCGTTTGCCGCCTTAGCCAAGCATCGGCTGACAACCTTACTTTTCCACTTGTAGATACTTGAGGTGGGCGATGAGATTGTGGAATTGGAGGTGAGTGGATTTAAAACCACGGAAACCACCGTGGTAGCTGCTAACCTCGGTGTTCACTTGATGCGCGACTCTCAAAACCACGAACTCCCGTCTGTCAGTGAACCCGGCGACAAGGAATTGACCGTCGGCCGAGATTACCCCTATATCATTCAGGTGAGCTAGTGCTGATGCTTCTCAAGTGCTCTGCGTTGATCTCGTTTTACGAAAGTTCATTTGTAAAAGAGGAAAACTGCTGAAATCACCAGCTTTGAGTGGAATTACTCGAAGTGGGGATCTGTGTGGTCGGCGTCAATAGCATCAGCTGGATTATTAAGAATATTGTTCTTTTTTCCGCTGACTGTTTGTTTACGCGCCCCTCGATTCATGTCTGCTCAGGTTTCACCAACGTCTTTGAGGCTGCTCAATGGACCCCACTTGCTCGAAGACCTACACCTGACTAGCGAGTCGCGAATCTGTCTCGCCAGTGTCGCAGATCCCTACGTTCTCGTTGGCACCGAAGACGACGATCTTATTCTCTTCGCCCTGCACTCCGCTCCCGTGGAGGAGCAAGATTCAAGAAAGTTGAACCCAGAAAGAGGGGACGCGTCGTTGCCTCACCCCTTCACCGACCCCGACCCAGTTGGCTTCCTCAAGTCGACTTCCGAGCGCCTCCCTTTTTCCCGCTACCTCAGCCTTAGTCGACCCAAGGTCTCTCAAGTGAGTTCCACAAATGATTAAGGGGAAAGGTCTAGGTAAAGTAAATGAGTAGCGATGTTTAAAACCATTTTTGGATTTCAGATTGCCCCGCCTGTGTGCTTCTGTCTGTACTATGACGAGGCGGGCAGATTATCCCAATGGCTTAACTCTAGTGTCAGTCCAGCCCTCCTATGGCATACCCCTCGAAACGCCGTTGAGAAGGACAAAAGTGTCAATGCAGACGGGTCAGTCGTTATCGAATTCGCATAATTTCATCACCACCTCCACCACCATCATCATCTTCTTCTTCCTTGCCGCACCCGCGTCATTCTTATAGCACCCCCCCCTCATTCAATCATTGCGCGAGTTTTTTCTGCTCTTAGATCGAGTCAACAGTTGAGCGCTCTAGACGAGGAGGACATTCTACTGTACGGTGAAATAGTCGATATTTGTAAGAAGGAGAGACCCACCGTTCAGCCTGCGCTCCTAGATAGCGTGCAACCTCCGATTGACTCAATGATGGAGTGAGTGCTTTTTTTCCTTTAGATGTTGAGGCGGAACAACTACGCGTGTTGTCACAGTTTACACGTCTCTTTTATTGCGTAGGTGCTTAGCATCGAAGGAAACAACCTCCGCTTACTTCGCCTTCGTTGTCTTCTCCAATGGCGTCCTCGAAGTGAGAATTATTCAATTCCATCCCCTTCTTTCTAACCCCCCGATCTTCTCCACAATCACACTGACCGCTGTTTTACTTTTTTCCAGATCTACAGTTTACCGGAGTTCACGTGTCTGTACGAGGTGCGTCAGTTCACGGAGCTTCCGGGCCTGCTCTGCGATTGCCGAGGTCTACCCGAGCCCGACAGGAGAACCAAGCCAACCAGGTAATTTAAAAGTCTGTTTTCAGTCCTCTATGGCACTTTTTTATCAAGCCTTTGCAGCATGAAGCAACGGCAGCTAGGCCAAACTCACTGTTTTTCCCTCTTTGTGCACGTTAAAAGCCTGATGTCGGAGAATGACGATATGCCCGCCGCCGTACGTGAAATCTCCGTCTTTCCGATTGACAGGGACGGGCACCGACCGGTCCTCTTCGTAAGTCTCCTTTGTCCTGTGCTTTGTTTGCCATCACGTCGTCTACAATTTTCTTCGGTTCGCCTTTCTGATTGGTCGGGACAACTCAACCCGCTTTGTCTTTGTCACGCACAGGTGCGCACTGCGCGAGAGGTCGTCTGCTACGAAGCTCTATGCGCATTTCCAGACGAGGCGGTGCCCCTGACGCCCACCACCCTCCCAGTAGGCGGACAGGTGCCTTCGGCCGACTCCCGGTGTCCGCTTCGGTGGCGACGTCTACCTGTCTCGTGCCCCCTTCTGGCACCGGGCAGACTCCGCTCGGATCCCCGCGTTGCGGACATCCAGGTACACTCAAATTATCTGTTTAACATAGCCAGGCGCCACTTCCAGTGTCGGTCATGTGTGGGGTGTCGTGGTGGTACAGTCACGCCGTTGGCGGGTTGCGACCTGTGTTAAGTTGACGACGCCTTCGAGTCGAAAGCGGGGCACACCAACTCAATTCATCGGTCTATTTTAGCGAAGAATCCAAATTTCATGGATTCAACAACGTAAATCATGCTTTTCAGGCTAGCATGACTACAATGAGGTGCATGTAATGCCACACTGTCTAACGTCAAACCAAAATTCACACAGAAGTAGAATTGTACTCGATCTCGTAATTTGATATCCAATTCATTCCGATAACCCATCGTCGATGGATACGCACCTTGTGACTTGTAATTGTTCTACCCACTGCCACAAACACGCGTTTCTCTCTCTCTTTTTTGCAGTCAAAGTTGGTTAACAAGATGAATATACTGCGCCCGTTCGAGGAGATCGGTGGTCATCGGGGCATCTTTGTCTGTGGAAGCCAGCCCGTTTGGATGTTCTGCAGCCGTCTCGGTCACATCCGGGTGTATCCCCACACTATCGACGGAGTGATGACTAGCTTCGCGCCCCTCAACATCTCCTCCTGCCCCGACGGATTTGTCTACTTCACTCACGCCGTAAGACGCCATCCTTTGCTGTTTCATCCCCTCGCCCCACACCCCACCGTGTTGCCAAGTGTCGTGGTGTTTGAGAGCCAGCGCGTTCACTTGTCTGAGGGTTGGCCATTTAACGTGGTGGAGTCACGTCAGGAGGCTGGGCGGCGTCCATATTGATCCCCTAAGAAGCCGACAGCAACATCGACAATCATATGGTGATAGTTGTCTCCTAATGTGACTTTGAGGCTGGTGTCGGCTGCCCACTTGTGCCATTTAGTGGTTCCTTCTTTCTACCCAGTCGTGGCGGTCTTATTGTCACTTTACCACGTCATTGTAGCCATTATTGCCGCGTAAGGTAAGCCAAAGTTGAGGGTTTTTTTAAATTCTGAAAGTATTTTCGTTCAAATGGCTCTTGTGACTGCCAACCCGTCTGGTGGGCATATCTTGTGTTTACAGCAATGACTCAATTTGAATTTTGTTCCATGGTTTGTGGGGAATCGTCTTCATATCCTTAGTCACTGCTACTCCTACCACTACCACCATTACATGCTGTTTCTACAAGAAAAAGAGCTTAGTTTTGATTGATTTTTGACTTAGAACGAAATGAAGCTCGCAACTCTGCCACCAGGCTACTCATACGAAGGCGAGGTCGGCATAAGCACTATTCCCCTTGACGCCTGCCCCCGCTTTCTACAGTACCATCTGGAAAGCAAGGTAATTGTTACTGTTTCTGTGAAACGCATCAATCACCAGCGTTTAAAGCCTTTCTCGCGCTCGTCATCTTTTAGTTCTCAGCATGCAGTGTGTGTCAAAACTCACACAAATTACTGTATTTCTATTTATATCGGTTTTGGTCGTAACCTGATGACAAGTTTACACCATATCACCTCAGTTGCTCAATTTGCAAATTTTTTCTTCAATGGCAGTCCTCGTTAGCAAAGCCACTACTTTCCATAATATACAGGTCAAACATAAACTGTGCTTTAGGTTAACTGCTTTTGGCACCGAAGTAACGCCAATTAGACTACTGAAATGAGCATGCGAATTTTGTAGTGAGGACCTTAGAAAAGCTCCAGTTTTATTGCAGTTTTTGTTTATGTGAAGCTTCGGTCCCCTGGCCACTAATAAGGAGTGAGCTTTGTGACCGGTTGCCCGCATCTCTTGTGCACGTGTGTTTTTGTGTGTGACCCCCCAGACGTACATAGTTGTCTCGAGTACGGAGACGCCGTGCCACACGATTGTGCGTTTGAACGCGGACGGCAACAAGGAGGAGGAGTTGGTCGATCGCCCGGAGACCTGCGTCTTCCCCAGCCTCGACATCTACAAGATGCAGGTGATTGCACCTCTGCCGTCGTCGCGGCCCAACGATCCACCTCGCTTTGAAGTGGTACCCAATTCTGTGTGAGTTGCTTAGTTGCGCTTTACTTTCCAGTCGTGTTGAAGTGAAAGTTCGAACCCCCACTCTAGTTTTGCAACCAAGTCAAGGTACAACATATTCCCATATCTCCATGTAAACGGTGTGAATACGTAGTGGTCTAGGACGTAAGAAGCACAGTGTCTGACATCAGCCATCTTTTTGCAATTTTTTAGCATCGAGTTTGAGCCATTTGAGGAGGTCACGTGCCTGGTTACTGCCCAGCTCTCCTCTGATTTGACATTCAACGAGAGTAAGGACTATCTGGCGCTGGGCAGCAATCTCTCCTACGGCGAGGAGATCCCCGTGCGTGGTCGCATTGTCCTAGTCGACATAATCGAGGTCGTGCCTGAACCTGGGTTGCCACTTACCCGGCACAAAGTGAAGACCGTCTACGATGGCGACCAGAAGGGTCCAGTCACCGCGCTGGCGAGCTGCCAAGGCTACCTCATCAGCGCCGTTGGCCAGAAGGTCAGTCAAGCACCAACGGCCCCTCCTACTATTAGAGGCTCCTTTCCTTTAATGCTGACGTAGGGAATGCGCCTTTAAGCAAATGCCTCGAGTGGATCACGCTCCGAGGTGTTGTTCAAAGTAAATAGTCTGAGCGGAACAGAAGACTTCGACGGTGGTGTTTACAAGAGTGGAATTGTGTGTGCCCAAACAATCGCTCTGTTACAAATGGCGAAAATTCGATATAAGCCAGTTTTTGACCCAGGCATTCCTTGCTTCTATGTCTTTTAGATCTACATTTGGGCTCTGAAGGGCGGGGACCTGGAAGGTGTGGCGTTCGTCGACACGGACCTCTACATTCATTCTCTGGTCTGTGTGAAGAATCTCATTCTAGCTGCGGATGTTCTCAAGTCCATCCAGTTGCTGCGATTTCAGTCAAGTATGCGCGTCCTCTCACTGGTCTCCAGAGACAGTGCCCTGCGCGAGGTGTTTGCAGCCAATTTCTTCGTCGACGGCATCAAACTCGGTTTCCTAAGTGAGCCTTCTGGGATTACTCTCCTCATGCGTTTGTTTCAAATGCCTCCTATGGGCCTCGGAGACGGTGGACCTGAGATTTGACTGTGTTTTGCACTTTCCATCTGTCTCACAGTAACTGACAACTTCGGCAACCTGCTGGTGTACAGCTACGATCCAGAGGAGCCGGCGAGTTGCTCTGGGCGCCGTCTTGTTCGCCGAGCCGACATGCGCCTTCCATCAGTCGCCACCACTTCCTTGCGCGTGAGCAACCGCTTTCGACACCCCCTACTCTCCACCAAAGCCCTGCAAGCCGAAGTTAATGAGCTCCGACGCGCCACTGGCGGTAAACTGATGCCTCCAGTAGCTGGATCGAGCCTTTTGGCCACATTGGAGTACGAGCGATCTCGGCATTCGGTTTACTTTGGTGAGTGCTCCCAAGGCCCAATAGTTGAACTACTAGGCGTTGATAGGTTGTCCCCAAGCACGTAGTACTCATAAGTTGTCTTTTCATTCTAAACCACAGGTACTAGGACCGGTGCCATTTACCTTATAACACCGATCCGCGACAAAATGTTCAGCCGACTGCGAATAGTAGAGAAGAATTTGGTCCAGTGTTCTGGCTGTTTAGCTGGACTCATTCCGCGTGTTTGCCGGTAAGAAATTTGCGTGCTAAGTATCTCCTTTGTATTATCGCACACGTCTAATCGTACTGGTAATTGTGGTGTTTCTTATTGTTAAGGCAATATAATCAGCCCTTCCCGGAGCTCAGCAACTCGTGCGGAAATGTTGCCGATGGCGATTTAATCCTGCGGTATCTCTTGTTACCTCACGGACAGCGTCTTGAAGTGGCAAAAAAATCGGGACAAAGTCTCGAATCGGTGGGTGTCGAGGATTCATCGCCTCCTAATTGCACTAAATTGCCATTAAACCCTTGCTTTCCGACGGTTGTCACTCTACGGCGTAGTCCAGGACTAATTGGTGACATCATTAACCCTTAATGATCTGGTTAACAAACAATTAAAATCCCAAAATCCACCTTTAAAGGTGATGAAAGGTATACTTTCGTTAAGTTGTTTTAAAGGATAGTTGAATGACATGTCTACATGGTCACGTTTAGCAAATTTTCTCTTACAGTTGATGCGATAAAATTGGGCAACAATCTGTTGGAACCGATGGCTCTTAAATACTTGATGGTCTGAGTAGTAGTGGATGTTCAGAGTTGGAAATTTAATTTGTCTAAACGAAGTTGTATTGAAAGTACGGCATAATCTTCAGGATGATTTGTTCTCATAAAATGGTAAAAACGTATCCGAACTCTTATGCTATGATTTAAAAAAAAGCATCCAACATTTTTTGAAATCATTTCACTAAATCGGCAGGTGCTTTTTCCGTTAACACTTCCACCACTTGATCTCGGGCTAAAGGGAACGGTTCGCGTTGTTGAAAACACTCTAGTTTGACTGCCTGTGATGACGTGCAGTTTCCTGTGTAATTCCGATCCTCTTTATCACCGTCAGATCGAACGTTGACAAGCAGCAGTGACGGTTGAGGTATAATAAATTCATGCCAACATCCATGTTAGTGGTCACTGGTCACATTGAGATTAGTACTGTTTCCTAGGACTACGCAAATGTGTTCCCTTTTTGTCTTTCAGATCATGGACGACATCGCTGAAATATGCGCAATAACGCTTCATTTCTGAGGCACGTCTGTACATAACCTTTTTTGCATTTTGTACACTTAAATTTTGTAATCTACCTCTTTATTTGTGTTCTTTCAGTGTGGTGAGTGATCATAAACGTGCAGAAAGACATATTGTCATTACAACAAGGCTTATCCCAAAATACCTGTCAACCAATGAATTGGCAACTAAGCTTAGAAAGGAAAGTGTCTGCTCAAGTATTAATCGATAGTTTTCTGTGAAACGGCTTTATTCACAAAAGTGCAGAATGGATGCTTTCTAGGTACAAAAACCGACTCCTGTTGCGAAGGTATTAGCAGCTAAGCCTGCTTAAAGAAAACGCTTCTTAGTCCATGTCCTGTTGGGTCTCTGTTGGTTCCTGAAATGGATGACACATGCAATTAGCATTTAACCCCGACTGGGCACTCTGGTCGATACTTCTTGTTGGGGGGATTTCAACTTATTTGGCAGGACCTTTGAGGCATTTTGTCGCCTGCCCGACATCGCTGCACTCGGATTGGTTGGTGGGTACTTACCAAAGGGGGCCCTAGGTGTTTAGTGTGTGCGTGTTTGCTAACCGTCGGAGGTCCCTGTTCTTCTCGGTTTCTGGGCAACGCGCTTACTTTCTTTTCTTTGGTTACGCTGGAGGATGGGCAGGCCGCCCTGCTCAAATCGAGCCATCTCCTCGGCTGCCATACGAGTCAGCTCTCCTATTGGCTTATCGTTAATTAGCTTCCTCCAACGCGAGAGCAGGATCCCAATGTATTCCAGCTTCTCATCCTGTTCTCCCCTAGGAAAAGGACCTTTTTTACTACTATCCATTTACTCTCCCTTACAACTCCACCATGTGCTATTCATTTAGGTTACTAATATCTAGTTGTTGCGAAAGGGCTTTTCGTTGTAGAATATTTGTGCATTTTTCAGTTTACTGGAATGTCTTTGATCTTTTTAATTGGCGCATGACTGTTTTATAAAGGGCGTTCAGTTTTTCGACGTGTTCCCTAGCGGTTGTGGTGGGATGTTCTGTGACTGCAGCTTTCAAGACTTCGGAATCGAGCGCTTCCGGGTGACCATTGTTCGACCCACCTTCCAAATTGGGATGCCTGCAACTGTAACACGTCACTACCGTAGAAGCATTGAAGGGACTTTGCTGCTTGTAGCTCATTGGTTGGTTTACGGAACTCATGCAGTGGAGCGTTTCTATGCGAAATTTAATTGGAACATACTGAATTTTATGCACCGGACGTAGATTTTCTAGAAGCCATAAGTATTAATTGTCATCTAAAGTAGAATTATGGGGAAAAGTTTGAATAGATACAATCTGAAACATCTGTATTAAATGACGGACGTTACGTTTGCACCAACTTCATATTTGTTGCTTTACCAGATTAAACACATCTTGTAGTGTAGAGGACAATCAAGGCAGCTCGGACCGCACTGTATTGTAGGTGGGAATGTGCCGTTCTGTTATGAAAAAAGTTAACAAGGAAAAGCGAAATGTAGCCTAAAACATGCGACTGTAAATCAGAATATTAGGTGTTACAGCCTAGGACTAAGTTATTGGCACCAAATTCTTCACTACTAGTGTGCTGCGTCTGAAGTTGGGATGTGGATGTGTCGATAGCTTCAGAGGATTGCAGATTATTGCTTGTGATTTTTCGTACAGTTTCCTTGAGAGCAGCATTTGCTCGCGCAAGTATAATTTATGTGAATAAGACCTAATCATTTGCAGGAACCTACTTGGCCCCCAAAACGCGAAGTGCGTAGCCACACTGGAGCATATAGAGATCCTTGTAAGTGTCCAGAGCTGCGCAGTGATCCTGCAGTAATCTAAAGAAATAAAGGAGGCCATTTTGTGGCAGATTTCGCAAGATCACGGTTTCAGGCCGAATTTCCTGTGCACTTGGGATTACGGTAATGCGTGAGATAACATAATACGAGTAAACACAAAAGCCAAATTCTGCGCAAGCACTATGTGGCCATTAGATAATGCATGACAGTTAAAACAGCATCGTAGAACCACAATTCAATTTCTGATGTAGCACTGTAGGCGTCCTCTGCAACCAAATCAATGGACTTTTGCAAATCCGAAAAATTAGAATATTTAGTTATTACGAGCATCAGGGCAATTTATCGAAACTAATCGTTGACGGGTCCTTACTCGTATCTGTTTGCATATCCCTCGATTTCATCTCGTAATTTCGCGGTTAGTGCCCGTTCCTGCTCCAGTTCCTTGGCGACCTTTTCATGCTCTTCCAAAGAAACGGTTGAGTTGAAGTTGGACTCATATTCAACCAGCTTCCTGGTTTGTTTCGTAATCGTCTCCTTCGCCATCCTGACGTTTAAGGAGGCATTTAAACAGTAAGTTATTTCAAGGGGTTTGCACTCTGTGGCAGCCGAACGATGAATCTATCTTATTGGGCAGTTGCAAAAGTTCCTGCTCGACTTTAAAATAAATGTAACATAATTTGATGGAAAATGGTATTTGATAGGCGATAATGCACTCTAGCGCTGCCTAAAATTGTTTTAGACATCTCTAAGTTCCCTGAATTCCGTCTTTTCAGAAACTGAATGTTTCCAATTCAAAGAAGGTCGTGAAGTAGCTTTAACCTCTTTTATAGAGTCAAGTTTGGTGCAATTTAAAGTGTCTTGCAGACGAAACAGGAAAAGATTTGAGAAGGACAAGATCAGGGGATATGCTTGGTGATGCTGCATAGCTTCCCATTTTGACTCCATCAATTATTAAGTTGCCCCTTGGTTGACATTTGATCTGTCTTTGAAATAATTAAGGCGTGCTTTATGACAGACCAAATTTACACGTTTTGCACTGATGTAGACACTGGGTTGGGTAAGTAGTTCAAAGCTCTTATCTACGGTTGTGGCTGGTTTAATAAGAAGAAGCCATACTTCCATATTTTGTTTCCTGTTTTGACGTTTACCACTGAACATGGTTAGTATAGGCTTACACCAAGGATGAGAGAAATTGTTGCTGAAACATGGGTCAGTTTAGTCCTTTCTTTCAGAGCGTACGGAAACCCAATTACTGAGTTTCGACGTGCACCCCAATTTCTATACGTGGCGAAACGCAGTCACGTTGTCAAAAATAGTATCGCTGGAATCCCTTGATTGGTGGTCCAAAAATTACAATTCACCGTATCATGCCATAATGAAAGTCGAAGTGTCCCCAGGTGCGAAGCTTGTCGTTCTTATTACAGCCACCATTTCGAAATCCACGAAATGGAATTTAAATTAAATTTTGTTTCTACTTTCAGCACTCACTCTTTCTTTAAACCCATAGCATTGCAAACTTGCAAACCATCATTTCCAATTCGATAATGAGTCATAAAAGTAATATCGACGCAATCAAAAATGCACGCAAATGTAGTTTCTAGGGCTAAAATGGGAACGTTTAAGCTTACTCGTAGGCCACCCTCAGTTTGACTGGATCCTCACCGATTTCAGCTTGCTGATTCCGCAGAATGTTCTCCATGTCACTTAGTATATTTGACAGCTCATTAACCTTAAGTTGAGCTAATTTCCGTCCGTCTGTTTCTGCTCTGAGCAAATGGGCATCTCGTGAAAGTTCATTCGTCAAACCATCGATCTTAATAAGTGGAAAAAAGACATTCAACATGCAAAAGATGAAGCTATTCCGCCAAAAGGAACATCGCTCTAAAAACATTGGTAGTAACCTACACAGAAAGGTTTTATTTAGCTTCCCGATTTCACTTATCAACCGTTAGCATTAATGTATCGAGTTGATTGTAAATCAAGGAATCTCGTGTACAACATATATCTTACAGTTGCAAACAGCGTAAGAACTCACAAGTTTACGAAAAGGCAAGCTCTTTCGCCCTAATTTCCAGAATTATTGAAATTGAAGTCCCAATTCAATTTTGGGAATCAATACAGCTTCTTAACATTAAATTTTTAACCATGAACAAAAGGCAGCGAACGTATACAACCCAGATTTTCCAATTATTTTTCCGCACAGTCCTTGTGTTGTTCCATCGTTGTGCCAATGATTTCCCTCTGCCTTAGCAAAGGCACACACATCGTTAAGGGAAAATTAGGCTTTGCTACTGAAAAGCCGACTTGTCGGGGGTGAGGATAATTTTGACCCATCTGTAACTCACCAGCGCCTTTAATTGCACACGGTCTTGTTCAAGTTTTTCAATTTTCTTTTGTTTAAGCTGGCACTGGTCTTGGAGGGCCTTGACGTCTGTGGTGAAAGTCAAAGTATTAGCAACTAGGCCACAAGTTCTAGACAAAATAAGCCAACTTCAATCGGCTACCTGCATTTTCAGCCTCCTTTGCCTCCCCTAAACGGCGTTCATATTCAATCGAAAGTGAATGTACATTTTCCTGAGGAAATAAAATATTAAACATTTTAGCACCTTTACAAACCATGTAGTTGTGGTGTTGCAAGTGGAAAAGCGGTTCTTTGTTTGTCTGACACATCGTAAAGGCACATGAGGGCAAGAAAATTATTTTAATCATTTACACTAGCAGCTCAGCTTTAAAATACCCGTTTGGCATTCTGTCATTTTAAGCTGTCGCGACATTGTTGATGGAGACTTGCCATAAATTTGATTACCGATATGACTCGATTTTCAATAGCCTGTTAATAGACAACAATCTGTTAGATGTAACGAAATTATTCAACCATAGAAAAAGCACTTATGTATCTTAATTGAGCGGACTTTTTGCAAATTTACAGTCGCATGTAAGAATTCGCTAAGTTTGTATTGCAAAGGATAAATTTATTTGCTCCGAGATGTGCGTTGTCGTGTAAACTGAAAAAAAAACTGCACAACATTACCTCCATTGGGTAAATCCTTTTGATCTGTTTGCTCTGGTGAAGAATGTACTGGTCGTATTGTGACTTAACTTGAGATAGAAAAGGCGCATAGTGGGTACAGCCAGAGATGAATATTTCGAAGGCTTCTCGATACACCTGCACATATGTAATTAGACTTGAAACTACCAACAAACCTGTAGACGAACAGGATCAGCTGGGTCGTCTGTGGCATTGTATTTTTTCAAGTCTGTATGCAGCTTCTTCTCTATTTCGACCAGAAACTGCGGTCTCAATGGAGGAGGGAGTTCTAGATAATGAGATTGAGCAAGACACCACTCCATCTTTCCATTTGGAGCATTCTTGGTTTAAACTTTACAAAAACAACGAGATTTAAAACGACTCCTGGCATGTTGTGAATCAAGTTTTTGTTCTTAGCTCCCTACACGCATATTAATTCAGAAGGTGTTCATTACCTGCCACACTTACTACTTTTAGCACTTGCTGAATTAATGCTTACCCCATCCACAGGTTGAGAGGAATTTACTTATTATTTTACTGCTGAGAAACTTATAATCCATGTGACCTAACGTTGATGTTACATTTTGAGGCGTGAATGCAGTGTCAATAGACAGACAGACATAAGATAGAATACTTCAGTTGTCTTACTGGACTCATGCCTAGTCTGACGATGGATATGCTTGTCGGAGGTAAGAAATATTTGATCTGTAGAGCGCATTTTACTGACTGCGTATGCTGGCCATGGATCAATAACAAGTGTTCTGCCGATAGAGTTTTTGTTCTCATCTTTCTTTGTCTACATTTAAATTAAAAAAGAATATGTCAAAATGCTGGAACTAACAAGAGTGTTTTTATTAAAGTATTCAATCAATTGGAAAAAAAATTAATGCTTGCCCAAAACATCCACAAATAAATTATGATGCACACCAAAATCGCCAACATCATACAGTTTTGCTCATCCGGAAGGCCTTGGTGACACTATCATTTCAGTGATGAAAGTCAGGTAAGATAAATCAAAATAATTATATCTTTAGACAGGCTGACTGCCTTATAATAACAACTTAATGAATGCAAACTAGTGCAACTACTGGTAATAAATGTGACAAGCTTGTGACTTACTTCTTTTTGTAGATGGATTGGAAAGTAGAAAATGTCGGATTTTGCCCCATATGACTGGTAGGCCGGCAGTTTAACCACATTATGAAATCGAGATGGTTTCTCGGTTTTTTTCGATATCAAATAGGTACATTCAAATTTTGGCATCTAAAATTAAGTTATTACTTCGGTGGCGATTAAAGAGATACTTCCAAAAACCCGGCATTTGAAAAGAACATGCTCAATTTAGCAATACTGACGCATTGAGTATACGCAACCAGAAAATTGATCCATAAATATTCTAGATAATCTAATCCATCCAAGCGAGCTAAGAGTATACGTTTCTTTGCCTGCTTAGTCAATAAAACTAACATAAATTCCCGGTAAGCCAAATTAAGACAACATGAAAATTCCAAAAGCACATTTTTAAACCAATTAAAGTGAGCAGAGCACGGCGTGGCGACTAATCAAAAACCCATATACCTTTTACTTATCGTCCGTAAACCATTATGGTTTACAAATTTTTCAACGAAAGAAAAACGGCGATGGGTAAAGACCCTACCATATTTGTGTATGCATTATATGTCATTGTCAAATTATGCTAAAATGTCAATATAGTATTAAAGCGTTTGGGCATTTACCAAAAGTCATTAACTATATCTCAAATATCTATTCAAAACTATTTAAATTCGAGCACCGAGTTCAATTTCAAAATAGAAAAATGAACAAATACATGCAATCGAAAGTACTATACACTGGAAAATAATTTAGGATTCCGTGAATGGTAAAGCGCCAAAGTTACGATGCATCACATACGTCTGTTTCAAAAATCATTCTAATATATTCAGGTACCGGTCTGATATCATGAATCAGTGGGAATATTGCTATCAACAAAATCAAAATAAAGATCCTTCATGGAATATTTGGAATCTGAATAAACAGATGGATAGGGAAAGTTTATTTGATAAGGTAATATTAACTGCGACTACAATTATTTGTACATTGCAAAACCATTGAACCAGTGCTACGAAAGGTAGACATAAACTGGCAATTTGTATACCAGTATAAGCGATCTATTTTCTGAGTGTACATAGGCAAAGATATTAAGTAATCCTCACATTTTCGGTACCAAAAAACGACAGATTGCACAAACGTCGTTATGTAATATTGCGTTTTCGGGATTTTGTATATTAAAACAAACCTTCGAATCCAATTTTCCGTTGGCATCTTGTCCTCGATTTGGACCTATGAACTGCATTAATTGGAAAAAACTAGAAAGGCACCTCTATTTAACTGTTCCGTAAGCAGAAACCAACTTTTTCTAGAATTTCATGGGTTAGTTCTAAAATACCTTTGTTTAGTTTTACAAGTCTCAAATTGGAAATTATGTCACTTATTTACTCTTTGTCAAAGGAATTGGCTAAAAAATAATGGGTACAAAAATTTGTCACCGTCTTTCGAACAAAGATTTTGTTTTCAGTAGAAGTGATTTTTACGGGACCCAGGTTACCTACTCTATTACCAACCGAATCAGGATTAAAAGAATTATTCGTGAGTGTCCTTTGCTCAAGACAAATACCACAGAAGCGTATTGTGTACCTTTTTTGGAACTGTATAATCTGTCGCATCATTTCTAAATATTGAGATTATGTTCTCAATAATCATAAATAGTCGAAAAAGTAGCACATTCTTTCAGTTTAAAGGTTGCTTATTGGAAAACTATGTAGCACTGTAGCATTTACCTCTTCTATGATCCCATTAACAGATTCACTAAGAAACTGCGTAAGCAATAATACTGTTTGTTAAAATCTACGGTAGTGTGGCGGCTTTCTCCACATTATCGTGCGCGATAATGAATTGTTTCAGAAATGAGGCCGTACGTTGGCTGTAAAGTTGTTTATTTTCATCTTCATTGATCGAGCGTAGCAATTTTAATCAACGAAGATGTTGGAAAGTGTAGCAATAATTCGTATTGTCTCTGCAGTTGACTCAGCTGCGACTAGTTTTGATTTAAGTAGATGTGCAATTATCCTAAACAGAGATAGTTTTGCTGCGACTGATGTTGCATTATATCTACAAATCGGTGTAAATTTAGGATTAATTTTCGTATATTATTATTATTACTTTTGCTTGAATAAGCTTGTCAATTAGGGTAACATTTATTGCCAGTATTTATTTAATCTATTTGCTGAAAAATGACACGCCGCATGTATTCCCGTCACTTAACTGATACCTTTTACTTAATAGGTCATTATACCTGAGAACTAGTCTGTGTTTTGTAACTGTGTTATTAGAACTTGGCGACATCTTTTGTGTATTTTCTGCTTGCGTGGTTTTATATCACTACATGCGAACAGGTTTTGAAGTACTAGTCACAGCTGCCTTTTCACATGAAGGCAACCCACAAGAAGTTGTAGTTATGCATTATAAAGTAGGTTTATTATTTTAGTTTACGAACTACTACGAAAATTGTAAATATTTTAGCTTGTATATGCGTTCAAACGAATTAAATTGCCACTTACCGTTTTAAGTTTCAACGATACAAATGCACATATGCAATTTCGCCAAAGGCAAAGAACCTGGTCTTCAATTCGAAAGTATGCCGGTGTGTAGATTCAGATCACCTGCGTTTAGAAAAATTTGGACCCAATTTACAAAATATATCAAGGCGAGAGTGAACTATTTTATTTTCCCATTCCTGAGTTGCCACCAGTGAGTGAGCTTATTTTTAACATATCAGTTCATAATGTGGTATTTTACTGGTTTGATTACTATATTTTAAGATAAAGTGTAGTTTTTTAAAGATCAATCCTTAAACTCAGATGAATGTTTGCAAGACAACGCTGCCATGCTACTGTGTGTTTACGCATAATAATTGTTGACAGCACAGGTGATATTCAGCAGAAAGATCAACCTGCTTAATAGAATTCTTAAATATGGACTTGAGCGTGCTACAGTAAACCAATGCAGAGATATCAACTCATACGTCTATATAGGGGGATAAAATACAGCTTGCTTAATGTTCATAGGACACTTTGAGGAGCATTTTCTGCAAAATACTGACCATTAAGATGATATGATAATCTAATCCTCCTTTACCCAAATGAAAATTCATAAACGCCAGTATTACTGTCGTGCAGACGAAGTTCCCATGGAGTTTTATCAGTCAACTTTGAGTGAAAGCATAGTTAACATTCTCTTATGATCGACAAAATACACAATGCCGTATGTACAATTTTGGCCCCCAGTTGTAGCATTGTGAAGTATTAACCTCAGAAGTGTCATCATATGTTATAGCCAAATTTATTTCTTAAAACACAAAGTCTTGATAAAAAGTGTGAATAAATTCACTGATAAGGAGAAATTAATGTTGCCTATTAAACTTATTATGGTACAAATCTTTCCTAACAATGCATAAATCGTAGGTCACCGATCGCAGTGGCTTGGCTGGCAGAGCGCTTACAGTAGACCCATGGCCAGCCTATGCAGGTGAACGCACAAAAACAGATTCTCAAGTATTTGTGGATGGACATCGGCTTATCGCCCAAAGCAAGGAACATTCAAGTAAGCTTGTGCAATTTCTTAACAATTCCGTAGACATTAGTCGAGGACTATGTGCATTTTGTAGACGTTTCTAAGAATTTTCGTGTGCGCCCACCAAAAAAACGTCAGAGGTGTTTATTTAAACCTGACTACAAATCAGAATAAGTGTTTAAGTGGACGAATCCTGTGCTGGTCTTGATAAAATCAGTCAGAAAACAGCAACTAGTTTAGGCACAATGCCCTACAGTGCTTGGCATTCGCTTGATTTTGACTAAAAAGGATTTCATTCAAAATGTAATCCTAAACTGAGAGCAGAAATTTGTACAGACGTGTGTCCGAGTAACCAAACTGGGCTCTTGTTATTTTTAACGATTTGCCCAGACCCACATACGACTTTTAAACGAGCACATCCCGTATTCGGTTCCAGCCCCGCCTTTTTAGTGCAGAGACAACGATACGATTCCATGCTGGAGAAAGTCCTGAGTTGGCGAGGCCACATAATTTGTCGAAGTGCCCATCAAATGTGGACAAATTCTTGCCAATGCGTGTAAATAGCTATAAGTGAAACGGCGCAGTGTAGTAGTCCTATTTCACAACCCGGCTTATCAACCTACCGTAACAATTCGAGAACAAAAAGACACTCGATATCACACAACGGTTCATTCGCTGGGGTTTTTCGAGGTGGTTGACACGCAGAGTAGGGACAAAAATGATTAACTGACAGATGAACATCAAAATGATGAACCCTAATCCTAATGGCGAGTTGCGGTAGGGTCAATGTTGCATCACAGGAGGAACAATCGAAATCTTGTACTAGTAGACTAGGAGTTATTGTCCGTAACGTGTTTATTTTGGGTGACGATTGCGATTGACGACATCACGTCAATATTACCGATTTTAATAGATTGACGCCCAAGACGTAAAGAAAAGAGTAAACGCCGACACCGCACTGTGTATGCTGTATCATTTACACGAGTGTGTGGGCGCGATTGCGAATAAAGACCAGTGGGAGATAGTGATGAGTCACGAGAACTACTCAACTCTCGGTAAACCACTTTGGACAATTTTTCGGTCGTTCGATTCTGCTGACGGTTAATTGCGTTCCCTAACCGTTCCGATTAAAATCTCGTGTGAAAAGATAATCTACGGTTTTCGGGATTACTATTGCATTCATAATGTGTTTTATGGGGGATCGTGTTGTCTAGCGAGCTTCCGATAAAAAATTTAAGCATTTTCCTGGATGGAGGTGGCGAAGATGGAGGGGGTGGGTTGTGCTCATTTGAGCATTTCGCTTGGCTAGAATGCCATGAAAATCCGCATACTCTCGTATAGAGGTGTGAGGATTGTTGTACAGGCGCAACTACCTAATTGCTCTGGACAACTAAGTGGAACGTGGGTAAGAGTTGATGACTATGTTGGTAATGCGATGAATGAAGGGAGTTATGGACTTGCCACGAAATCCCACTGACGTGTTAAGGGTAGTTTGAAACCAGCGGATGGATTTAGAATGCCGACGAAGGATTGAATTGCTACCCCCCATTTTTGATAGGGTAAAAATATTGGTTTACCTGGTAGGTGATTAAGACAGATTAGTGGAAGTAAGCGAGCTACATTACCAAGTTATTCTTCGTTGTCCTTTATAGTACCTGTGATCAAATATGACGATTATATCCGACAAATAAGACTATTTGTTCACCCACCACTCATAATGTGTCATTGTGTGAGTGCACACGACTTTAAAACGTGTGGCGAGGGTAACCATTGAAAGGGAGCATGAGATCTGAGGTCCGAAGCTGAACTCACTTAGAGTCAGGAGTGAGTAGAGAACAGGTTGTATTTGGCGTGAAAATATCGTCGTTGATGTAAATCAAGCGAGAATGAGATGGTACCGTTGGTTGTAAGGAGGCTAGAATGCATTTTCCTCAATGACTAATTTGTGATTACTTGATAGATGATTACCAAAATGGAAGTTGCGTTGCAACAGTGAAAACTCGGAGTCATTGCGATCACTCGTGTATCCGAAACTTGAAGGTTATTGTCAATAATATTGGGATCACCATTTGCAGCAGCCGGCAGACTAATTAAACATTTTTGAGGACTTTACTAGCTGTTGAACCCGAAACTAACGGAGATGATGAGGAGCCAAAAAACGAAGTTGATGCAACTGTTCCTTCGTCAGATAGACGTGAGGTCTTATAGAGCACCTGTTAACAGTGACCAATGAAAAGAGTGTGACAGATACCAATCAGCTTTCAGTATATGAGACCATTGCAGGCGGGCCAAAACCCGAAAATCATCGAATGGAACAAAAATAAGACTAGCGAATTGTAAACATCCAGCAAGGTATCCTCACGGATGTTACGGATTTCACTGTGCTGTGCTTTTTAGAATTAAAACCTCCACCAAAGCCTAAATTTTTGGCTTTACTTGAACACAAAATATTGCGAGACATGAAAAAGTTGGGCATTCCAGAGGACACTTCAAATCCACTTCGTCTGCAGGTAAGCTATTAGCACGTTTTTTTGAATTTCTTTCGATTGGCTTTGTGAGGCAGCTTGGAAATATAAAAAAAGAAAAGTTTTGTCCAGGCTACCGCGTGCTCAGAATGTGGTGGTTTTAATTTAGAACATAAAGGCAGATTAGTGAGGTATTCCACTGAAATCACATTGTAACTAGTTCTAGCTAATTGTTGACATTCACGTGTTTTGTAAATACAGCACCTGTGTGAAGATTAGAAGCTTTAGATATTCGAACCTGCAAGACTGGCCCAAGCACAAACACACAAGGATATGTTCTACCTTGATTAATCTAGTTCATGATCAGCGTTTAATAGCTCGTCCAATGGCCGAGAACATTTGTAGATCGTTGAGGCGAAAATAGTTGAATGTTAGCGTCATCAGTATATTAGCATAGCAGGATGTACACATAAGTTTAGCGTTTAGTGGCCCCCTCTAAGTATTAGGGCTCAGCACGACAGTAGTGTCCATTTCCTGACCCGGACGTTGGTTAGGTAGCAGTGACAATTGGCTACAGTTTATCTCAAAGTCTTCAGACACCTGTCAATTTTGCTTAATCTCCCTCTTCTAGTTATATCGTGAGATATTCGATCGCTTTATCGAAAAGTGCGTCTTATACGGGCCACTCTTAGCTAAAATCAAGAACCAATATGAGGAATTCATTGTGCATTTGCGTAAAAAGATCGATGAAATGCTACCGATAAGGGTGAGTTTTGCTGGTGCCTAATCCGTGTCATCTTTTATTCTGATTTCCTTGTACTTATAAAACGTGACAGCGTCTTGGATTACGGGGATAATATCTAAAGATATACTTTTAAATATAATTAGTTTGGAAAATAGATGCTTTGACACTCCTTTTGAATACGGCATCACGCAGCTTTTATTTCAAACCTTGTGTAGATAAATAACCTGCAATTTTGTTGGTATGAGATTCCTGGTAATCTTTAGAAGCATTTCCTGAATCTACGTCCCCTTAAACCTCATCGCACTTTTCGGTCACTAAGACTTTTTTTAAACTTTTGACAGGAGCATTTGTGGGTTGCCTCATTTAATGCTGACGAGAGCGTTCGAGACTTCCGGAACCATGAAAACGCTGGTAAGTCCAAATCAGTTAATGTGGAAATTGCCAGAAATCGTTTTCTTGAAGTCAGAAATGCAGCGCGACAAGGCCAAAATCGAGAAACTGAAGCAGGAGTGCACAGAACTTCAAGTGACGGTAAGGCCTTGTTGCAGGACGCTGATTACCAAGTCATAACCACGACCAATCAAGGTCCCTTTCTGCCTAGGTTGGAAATCTGTCTGCCAAGTTGGAAGCTCGGGATGAAGCATGCCGAGTGGAATCCGATGGACGCAAGCTTCTCATTGGTGAAGTAAATGACCTTACCTCAAGGCTACACGAAATGGAGCTCCTTGTCAAGGCTGACACTGATCGCAACAACGAAGACCCAATTACACTTAAGATCTTGGTCGAGTACGCGTCGTGCTATGTTATTCCCATGTCTCTCGTTGTTTTATAAGGCCGTTGTTTTGTTATGTTACTCTTAGATGTGTCCTCATGCGCTATCTGGGGATGCATACCTCAAAGAAGGTTAATTTTCTAATTGCCTTCGAGTTAATTTGCCAAACCTCCGTAAATATGACTGGAAAGGTCTCTGTGATTAAGTAAAATCGTCGTTTTTCGTAGAAGCCGTAGTGTGTTGTACTCTCTGTGATCTTGATGCAACGGTATCTCAACCTACAGGCAATACGAAAAAGCCACCGAGAAGGCAAATGCCGAGCTAAATCATTACCGGTCAGACTATGAGGAGAGAGTGCCGCGGACAAAGTACGACGAGGCGGTGAAGCAGCTCAACGAGAAGACCCTCGAGGTTGAAGCTCTAAACGAGGAGCTGGAGAGTGCTGCAAGTCGTTACAGGTATGTACCAATGTCCGCTGCTTCCCTGGACGTCCAGTCTTAAGGCAGCCTCGTTTGCTGTTGGTTTATGGCCAAATTTCGCATGATGTACAAAACTGAAACTGTATGGTACGCTTTACATTGCACTTTTATAAAAGCAAGAAGGCTAATAAAACCCACGAAAATCTATGACAAGTTTTAAGGGTTGACATTTTAACGGCTCGCATTCGGTTAAGAGCAATTTTTGTCTCGGTTTTTTTTTCTAAATGTAAACCAGGTTTGAAATTATTAGTGAATGACTTGTTTATGCAGGATCAACATCGTAATTGAACCAGATCGTGGTCGTATAACTGTGCAAGGCCTTACGCTGGTGATCACTGTATCTAACACAACAATTAAAAAATAACAATTTTAGTGTTCCGTACTAGTTGAAAAAATTTCACTTAACATAACAACTCAGTATTTGCTCACACATCCCAGACTTGTCAAAACAAGCTCTTTTTAGAAAAGAATTAACGTTGTTGACACAGAATTCATCGTTTAAAACAAAGTCAGTCAAAAAATATCAGGGTTAAAGGGTAACGAACCCTTAAAAAATAAATTAAATATCGCTTGATCTCTTTGAAAGCGGATGATGCAGGCATTTTAGTGTAATTACAAGTACGAATTTTGTCTATTTTGACAAATTTTGAGAAAACAAACCGCCAGTAAACGTCAGTTTGACTAGAAAACATGAAACAGGAAAGTGAAATTAACAAATCGTGAAGCTAGTCACACGTATTTATTTTGCTTCTTGAAGATATTCAAGCCGTATTGTAAGGTCGTGGCTCGCAAACCCCTTTTTGTTGCAGTAGGCCCCGGCATGTGGTCTAGACACCGGAGCCGTCGCTGTTACTGTAAAAGACTAAGACCAGAGATTTCGGAGACAACCTTCCAATAACGGGCTTAACCTAGTTTTGCTTCCGCGCCACCGAGCATAAAAATCGTGTCTGACTGCCTGTAAAAGTACAAAAGGATGAATGAAACGATTAGCAAAGGTGCATAAATGGACTGTTCTACATGCCGTTAAGAGTGGGGGTGGCGACTCCGAGTATGCGACGACCGGGTTAATGGACGGTAATCAATCCGATTCACTACTTGGTCCTTACCTCGCTCCACCAAAGCACCATTTAGTTTAAAGTTTACCAGGCTCTTTTAGTTGCAATGATTCCAGCTAATTGATAATTGGCGGAAATTCCATGAGTTTTGTCCTTTGTGGACGGAAATTACGTTTTGTAACATAAAATCGATGCTACTCCATTACTAACCCACCTGTTGTAGTCGTCCGTTGCCATTGACTCACAAAGTGTCGACCATTGGGGTCGTCACAGGAAAGTACATAGAGCAAAGTAACATGGGTTTTGAATATGATGTCTACTTCAGTGCATAAATGTGTACAATATGAGATGTAGTGGGACAATGCGAAGTTTAGATCTAATCAAGTTTCCCCTCTATAGATTCCCCTCCAAGGCAAATTAATCGACAACGAACAAGCCCTTAACTTCATCTCTTTAACAGAAATCAGAACGAATGTTGGGTAGATATTATGGCTTTTGGTTTTGTTTCAGCGTGCTGGAAGACCACTGTGCCACGCTGACAACATGGCGCGATCTCTTCAACACCCAAGTGCTATACATCACGCGAGTTCTGGCCACAAAGTTAGTCTTCTTGCTTGCTTTAAAAACCAACGATCCTAGGCTATGTTGGAAGCCTGTTAAAAGAAATTTATACCTGCAAATGGCAGTCATTCGGTGACAGGTAGGGGCGCTAACATCTGAAAAATAGGCTTTGTGAGTCACCTGGGACTCTTGGCTTAAAAATTGGGACTTGTGGATTTGAAAATGGCACATCAGAATTTCTTAAGGCAACCTTTTCTAACTTTAGGCATCCCTGATCATCTGCTTTTTCCAATAAAAATCCCAACAGCCAACACAATATAAAAAGCAAGTTTCATGATACATTCATCATAACACTAACAATAACATATTGGGAAGTCGTTTTTGAGGCATTCCCATGCCTTGAGAACAGTTCAGCACTAGCATTTTTTAAGTAAATGAAGGCAGTAATTTACAGCCATCGATAGTCAACTTTTACAACCACATTCTCATATCCTTCAACTGGTGACTAATGGTGATTTCAAGCCGGTGTCGGTTTTATTCAAGGGATTAATCAAGGTCATGCTGTAGCCATATAAAAATTTAGTGGGTTTTTTTCCCTTGCTGATAGTGAATTGATTTCTCTGTTCTAACACAAACGCGTTCTCGTTAAGTTAGATCATTGGGATTCAATCTAATCTTATATATTGTTATCTATCACCACCAAAAGGCTTTTGTGTTCTTGCCTTTTATGGCTAAAAATCTACAACAACGATTTCTCGCGAGAATTAATCTGAGGCAGTGGGTATTGCTAGGCACGATGAGGTGTCTGCTTGTTCACTTTTGGACAACCTGTCTTTAGGTCTGACCCTGGACAGAAGGTAGAGTACATCAGCGCCCTGCTCTTCAGGTACCGGAAGATCGCGCGCGAGAAGACCGCCGAGCAGTTGGCCGAGTTTGTGCAGCAGGACTTCGCGCATGCCGAGGCTGGTGGTCTGCCGTCGCTCAGTAGACCGACTGTCGCAAAAGCCCGATCCAAAACGGATACTGACTAAGCCAGCGATGCTACTGGCCGTATAATTACGTATTATACAACGTACCTGTATCGCGTACATGCAGTAATAAATGCATACTCGTCGCTACAAACCCAACATCATTCTGTGTGTGTATGAGTGTAGTCGATTAGCAAATGGGGTTGGAGGGTATTAGAAGTGCATTTTTGACATCCTGGTGGGTTCTGTAAATGACCTTGAACCGGGGGAATATCAAGGTCTGGGTATGTGATAGAATGCCAATTAACAAAAAGACTTTTAATAAATTATCTTTTTTGCAATATAGCGTCCAGTAGACCTGGAAATATACAATTTGCAAATTCGGTTTCGTCAATATCTGCCCGTTGCATATATGTATATATACATATGCCGGAGAAAGAAAAGAAATGCACATCTTCAATTAATTCACGCAGAGTTTCAACCATCTGTAAGAGAAAGAACCGTGTTCAGAGGCACCATGATTGCTTACTTAGTATGTTTTTTCTTTAAGCCAAACTAACCGAAAAGTTCTTCCTCGGCGTGACTTATCTGGAGATTTGCCGTGAGTGCTCCAGTGACGGTATATGCACTGAGGTGGTGAAAAGACTCTGAAAGACGATGTTTATGCGCTCCTCAGGGATGCACGGCAGCAAGCACTCCACAATCCAAGGTTCTTCAAGGCACATGGCTCGAAAATAAGGCAAAGAAACGTGGGAGGTGACGGTGCAGTTAAGTTTGTCACAGAGGTAATTCACCGTATCCCGTGACGGCTCATCCGGGTCGATTTCGGGATTCTGCGCTGAAATTGAGACATCAAATGAATTGTGCAGAAGTCGCCTGAACTCCACCGTCTTCCTCAGCAATCCGTCACCGTCAAAGTCGACTACGTGGAATGCCAGTTCCGCTCGATCGTCAATCGTCCCTCGCAGGAGGATAGACAGGGTTCGCACAAAAGCGAGGGGCGATATATGGCGCTTTGAGCCCACACCTGTTGCCGAGTCCATAACCCCAGATGCTCTGCATAGACCATCCAAAGAATAGGGGTTTGTGATTCCCAGAGTGCTGTGTAGAAAGCCCTTCATTTCTTCCGTCGAAATGTCCCGCATCTCCTGCCCCGTCATCTGAATGTACATGTGCAGGATGATGCTGAGTTCGGTCTTATTAAAGTAAATCCGCGGAGCTCCAAGTGCCTCTCTGACAACACTGTTTATGGCATTTTTATTTTTAGCTGTCACGTTCTCGCAGGTAGACTTACGAAACACCTCCGAGACATCGGCGTTCTCGAAGACTTCGTGGCAGAATTGGTGCGGAGAAACGCGCTTCCTGTGTTTGCATGTGGAAATAGTTCGTGGAGCTGTGAATGGAGGTAAGGTGATGGTCAGTTTAACAGCACGGGGATTTTTTGGCTTGAATTTCGGGTCGTTTAAAAAAATGGCCATGTCTTGACCCGGCTGGTCACTGGGAGTGACATATGACACCAATCGATAAAGCCGATGCTTGATCTTGACATTGTAGCGCCCTTCACTAATCCTCTTCCTATTCGCTGAATACTTTCAGACAGACGCGATTACCGCGATGGTTCCACTGTGGTTGGAGTTATACAGATAAGTGCTGAAATCAATGATGAAATGTTGCTGTTGGAACTGTTAGACTTCGCCAAAATGCAACATGCCTGAACGAAATCGTTTTTAAACATATTCGGATCTTTGATAATTCTGCGAATCCATATTTTTTATTGGGACGTCCAGCATTACGTAAGTAAGCAGTATTAATGGATAGTTTGCAGATTAAATCACATCTCATGCATTGTTCACAGTGTATTAGGATTTGCCCCATATACATGCCACGGGTTCATGCCTTCGCTTTTGTCAGGAATACTTATTCCAGTTATGAGTAGTCTTGGTTAGCAGCGATTAAGTTTGAGTGTTAAAGTTGAAGTATTGTTAAGGTAACGTTTCTGATATTAGTTATTTAATCACAGTGAAAACCATTCCATCAATGGCTGAAATTTTCATATCATTCAGAAATCAGGTGCAGCCTACTTAGCCACTTGTATCACGCGAATTCATTTAAAAATTTGCCTACTTTTATAATTTGTCTAATTAATGGTTTTTGGCTGATTCTGTAATTAAAAACACCATTTTCATTCACACTATTCCCATTGCCGTAACTCGGACACACGGCTAAATGTCTTTATTTGTGGACAGGGGCATTTTAGCAGCAAATGTCAAATGCCTGATTTCTTCCCTCAAAAAATTGTCTCTCTTAATAACTGCGTAATATTCTGCAAAAATTCACTATTGAAATTAACTTCTTCTTTTTAATTGTTTGTTTGAAGAAGCTAATGTTTCCCTGTCTGGCATCACCACTTCAGCGAATGCTTTGTAATTAAACTGAAGTTATGACCGATGTGGTTGCTCGCATGGTGGTGGCATCTAAAGCAGCTTGAAAATTCGTCATTTTGTTTAGTAACCATAGCAAAATATAAACTTAAGACACCAACCGTTCAAGAACACGAAGGTCTTGAGTAGTACGTGAGGTGCTGCAGAAACTGCCTCACTTCTTTGACTGGTGAAAGGCCATTACAATAAAACGAGTGAGGCCGTTGATGGGCGTGGAGATTGGGTGTGTGTGTGTGGGCGTTTGCTATGGAAGAAGCACTAATGAGGGGGAGTGGTGAGCCAAATTCAGTTTGGGGTGACCAGAAGAATACCAAAGCCCTAGTATGAGAAAAGGATATTACATACTAAGCTGCATTAGCATACCACAAGTCAGGACCGTCCGTCAGACATCGTCCAACCGAGTCTTCCATACTGGCTGCACCGCCCATTATATTTTCTCTCATCTATCACCTTTTCTGGATGACCATTCAAACGCGCAGAGAAATCGGATTGGCTGAGCTTCGCGTGACCCATAATGGTTGCGCCCTATTCTAGCACAACTGCATTATTTTCTACTCTTCGGCATCTAGTGACGACCCTCTGCACTCAATTACTGGTCAGTAATCAATTTACAGCATTGATTATTACAACAAATAAATATATTGCAAAAGACTTAGTATTGATCACAAAGGGTGTATTGGTGTCTTTAGGTGGGCATTTTGCAGTGATTCCTAACATTTAAACAGTTGGCACACAACCACACACTTAGAATTGCCTTTGCTAGCTTACCTGAGAGCATTATTTAGGGTTTTTGTTCACTGACCAAAGACGTCCAACTGTTAACAGAATGTAGGGTGATCTTACCTTAATCTCGGTGGCAGCGTGATCAATTGTCCTGAAATGAGACAAATACTTTCATGATTGAAGTTGGGCAAAGCCAAGGGAGATTTTTGGTGTCATTCAAAATCGGCCACATTGAAAGACGGGTGGGTGAAATAACTATCTTATATTTGGCGGTTAACAATCACTCATACGGAATATGCTATATGCGGATAAATTATAATAAACACTTTCTGTGTGAGGTAGGGCAACATACCAAATTAGAGAGTTTAGTTTTCTAAGTGTTTGATCTGGTTTTACGAAGCATTTCGAAATTACCGGGTTTAGGCTAAGTTGCATTTGCCAAATTGGTGACAAAATTGGCCTTGTCACTTTCGTGCTAACAGGGAGATGCGCGATAACTTTGTCGCTACCGGTGAGTTGCGATTTACTGTACATTAAATCTGGATTCGTGGTTTGCAGCAGAGCACACTTGCTACAACCCATGTTTCAGATCTTTGCAACAACAATCGGCGATAATGTGACAATGAATTCGCAAACGCAACTCACGATAATCAGGAAACTAACACGTTCCCAGTAAATGATCTCTCACAGATCAGTATTAAGGGGTGTTAGGCAGTGTGGCATCCAAATTACCCAACAGAGCCATGCTGTGCCCACTATTAAGCCGCTGAATATGCTCCGAAGTCACACGTGTCACCTCCTTAAATTTGACAAAGTGTGAAGCGCTGATGGGCCAGATTCTGCCTGTACACACTGCATCAACTTGAAATAACAGTGTCACAATTCACTACAGAGTTGAGACGTAACAGAGCGGGGTGGTATAAAAAATTAGCGAATTGATTCTCACTCCTCACTTTGCAATTTACCTGCTTTTCGTCAGACCTTAGAGCATAAATATAGCATGGAAGGATTTAATAACTTCTGGAAATAAATAATTCTGAAGCAAACTGATTCCTGTTTGTGACAGTTTGTGGATGAGAAGCAATGCTACAACGCTACAACGGAAGTTTGGTCCCCTACATGTGTTGACCGAACACAACCTATGTCAACTTATAAACATAGCCCTTTCAATAGTTGTCCGCCGGCAACAAAGCTGTGACGGGTGATGAAACATGCATTTATTGTGAGAATGTCAAACGTACGCAGTCGTGGGTAGATTCCAGGCAACTGATTACATTAACGCCGAAACAGGACATCCACTTGAAGGCGGTTCTGCTGAATATGTGGTGGGACATGAAAGGTATACTTGATTACGATCTCCTGGACACTGCCGCTACGGCCGTCAATTGAACAAACTGGGTAAAGAACCTCATGGGAAAAGGCCATCTACTGTGCAAGGAAGCAGGCAGGTCATAGTGCTGCTGCTTGTCAACGCTCGAGGTCACGCTGCTCGGGCTACTCAGAAGACCTTCTTGAACCTGGAATGGGAAGTTCCCCTCTCCCAAGCAGCACATTCACCAGACTTGACACCGTCCGACTACCATTTGTTTCAGTCAATGCAGCAGCAGCGCCCCTAAGCTAATAAACAGTTTAAAAGGCAGGGCAATGTGCGTGAATTCGTCGATGACTGCTTTACCGCTTCGAAGCCTGCAATTATCGTTCGCGGCGGCATTCGTACGCAATCTAAGAAATGGCACAAGGTCATATTTCCAGGATTAAGTCCGTTATTTCCTCTTTTTGTATCTCGAATAAATTTGCTGAAAAAAAATCTGTAAAATTAAGACCATTTAAAAAAACAACCACAGCACAGTTGCGGCTGAAATAAGGCATGGCAATCTTGTATTCAAATTTTCTTTCCTACTCTCGTGCTATATGCGACTCAATAGAGGCCCTTTCAGGTGGTGGTCATTTACTAGTTTAACTGCGAAAATGTCGTTTTCGGTAATCAAGCACATTTGATCTGCATGCACACATTCGATGGTTCGAAGTGCGCGGCGTTAACAGTCTTATAAGCTTAACTTCCAAATGAGGCAGGCAAATCATTTGCTTAGTGTAATCTGTGCACATCAGTTCAGCCAAGTAACGTTGCCCTAAGGGGAACAGTGATATCCCACACGATGCACAAAGTCATGATCTCGCTGATAACCAACACGATCTGTAAGATTTCTGCACACAATCAGATTTGTTTTGCTAATTTTGCAGTGTTTTTGCATGCGGTCACTCTCATGAAGTTTGCTTACTTGTCAATGTGTATTTACTAATTTAGACTGACAACGGTTCCTCTTTGTTGTCCTTTTTCACCGATCATGTGGTGTTGTTTTAAAAGCAGGCTGATGGCGTCACACGCCGAAGACACTAGGTCAAACAAACGCAATTAACTCGATTTTGCACTGTGCAGCTTCGAATTTGTTTAATGCAAATAGCGTGGAATTAATCAGTTTTGGAAACAATTTTTCAGCATTAACTCACGGAAGCAAATCCAACATTCGTTCACTTTGGTCAGGGTTCTTTTTGTGACTATCTCTATCTAGAGAAGCTATTCCCAATGTCTTGGTGTCTAAACGTAACCGCTCGGAACAAGAAAAAGGAATGAGGAACAGAGCGAGCATCTCTTTGATGAACGCAAGGTTAAATTCATTAATAAAATCGAATGATTGGTCAATACTGATCATTTGTAACTTGCATTCCAGCTCCGTTCGAGTAGTGATATTGGATGCGGTGAAACGTTAATGTTTAGGTGTGTTCTAAATGGCCAAACTGGTTTCCGAAATTATGCTTTGGGGATTGCAGTTGTAGAATACCCGAGCTCTAGCATCGAGAAGACTGGGATAACAGACCAAGCTTTTTGGCCAATCACAAGCCGGAACCGTACTTCAGGCATCACCCATGCGAGTACGCCATGCTGGCTGCGCCACTGTCACCGGAATTTTTTTATCGAAGTAGTTGTATCTGTAATCACGTCTTCTGCGGGCTAACTAAACAATTTAAGGTCTATTCAAGCAATCAACTGCCTTACATTATCAGTATGTACAAACACACCATGACTTCACAACCAATTTGCAAAGTTAGTCTTTATGCATTCTAACAGGTGGGCTGTCAGTGCAGACACTCCCGTCAGTTTCCTTTGATTCTGTTCATCTTCACTGCAATTGATTAAGTGACAATGACCACAGCGTATTCTCTGAGAACTCGAGATGGCACACGTCGCTTGTAGGTGATTAGAGCAGCGGGCCTGTTGGTGGGGGCTAATCCAAGCTGAACTAAAGCGAACTGCAATTGACGACCTCAACTAAGCTGTGACAATCGCAATTCGGGTGATTAACAAATGCACATCTAGCCACTAACGCAGGACGTGAGTCAATATTTGAGGTGTCTGATTCCGTTTCAAGTGGCACTACAAACCTATCGATGTTTAAGATGCTGATTTTGTCAAAATGTTGACTGTATTTGCCTTGCTAGTGTTGCAAGGACTCAGAGGCAAAGGAAGATCTTGTCGGGTTTCGTGGAATAAGGGAGTACCAAACACACAGGGCATATTTGCTGCAACCCATGTCTCTACTATTCGCAGCAGGATTCCAAGATTTTCTAACAGACATCAATCAATGCATATTCATTTAATTCAGAGAGATTGCATTTAAGCTAACAGTCAAATGATGATAATGTATCAGTTGAATAGGGATTAGATGAAAGACAGCATCATGAGGATGGCTATTGTGCCGACCTTGAATACTGACAGCATCGCAGACGCTGATGTTGACGCCTTCGGCTGACTTGGCAACGCTGCCAGTAGCGACGGCGGTGGCTCAATTCGAGAGTCCTGAGGCAACGATTCGTGATAACACTGTCCGCGGAAACACTTCCAATCCTTGGGGCAGTGGCTGCAGGTGGGTCCCTTCGTATAGGGCTTTGCTCTGATGACTTCCGAGCTATCAAAACAAAGTCCAGCACATCAGTGGTTGGTACTCAACAAACTAGTCCAAACCAGATATATGCATTAATCTTGAACGCGCAGCTGGATCCGTTCGCCCTATTTTTAAGTATTTTGTAAAACAATATTGCTCATCGTTAATGCGCCGAAAGCGCAAATCGCTTAGACTGCCTTACCCGGGTTTGTAGAGACACGCCATCAAATAGCCTTTCCCAATCGATGAACCTGCACCGTCGCATTTTTCAATTGCACAGCCAACTTCTGTTGACGATGCCCTCACCATCTGCACCAAAAGTAAATGCAAAACATCCACGTTTATTGTGCAAAGTTAATGGGTTTCGAAACCGCAACAATCACCCAAACATGAAGTGCATATCAGCTATTTCAAGCTGCCAAATCACACCGTGGTAATATGAGGCACTTGCAAAGATGTTTCAAAATTCACTTGGATCTCATATCAAAATTAAGGCCTGAAGACGCAAATTCGTTGGAGCAGGCATTTATGCTGAATTGGGCGTAAATAGCTAATTGACTAGTGGCCAAATTACTAGGTGTTACAGGAACGGGAGGCCACGTCGTTGGCAGTTAAATAAAAGCTTGCGGGACTAACATACCTGCTTGTAAACGTGGCACGGCCCTTTGCATTCGCCTCGGTCGTAGTCGTAATAATCACTTGGGTATCTGCAAAGCACCTCGGCGTAGTCGGGTTTGGCCTCAAACTCATCTTCCACGACACGCCCGATGCCCCGATATTTCTTGTCGCCATGAGGAAATGTCACTTGGCATGTTGAAGTAAATTCACTGGCCAACGCCTCCAATTCCTTAGAGTAGCTCTGAATTGTGAGAAATAAGAAGATACTTAGCATCGGTAAGAGATGAGTTGTGAATACTTGCCACCGTGAGGCTGTGCCCCACTCAAAGATTCAATTGTGTTACGTCAAATCAATGCAGAAAATTTGAATCCTAGCATTCTGTGCTTTAAGCTGTTGTCAGATCGCACGAGGGCCACCAGCAAGTGCATTGCTACTGTACACAGAGTGGCATCGTGGAATCAGGAATGCTACATGTAGGAATTGACATTTCGTCATTTCCCTAGTGATTGCTAAAATGGATTATACAAGGCAAATGCACATTACTCGCATTATTCACAAATACACCATTGCATGTCAGATCCAAAAACACACCATGAGCCGCATGTCAGCAGCTGTCGGCCGAACCGATTCACGAAGCCTGGCGTGGCACTCGAGGATCTGTGCGCGTTGTTCCTCCGTTGGAACTTTGGCCATCACGCGGCAAGCTGCAAGCAGAAGACAAAGGAGCTTCGCCATATCTTCGTGCAAGTACTCGTGCAACGCAGGGACGAGTCACGATGGTTGTGTGGATTAAAGCGAACTTCGTGTCCCTATTTATATTGTCGGGTCTCCCAGTTACAACAGTGAATGCACGAATGAGGTGCTTTTGGGGCGGGGAGTTAGGATACGAAAACAAAGCACACAGCAGCCTTGTTGTGCGAGTTGACGAAATCGCAGCACATCTTTGCCAGCCGTGGTCGAGTTGTGGCAAGTGAAATCATTTCAAAGCGCGGTTGCAATGACGTCTGCACGATGATTTGTACCTCATGACATCTCGAATCAGGCAATCCAGATGGTGCATACTTTGCTTTCGCCATCTTCTAAATCCAACACCCAGCCCTATCATGCCACTTTGTGTCCTCAAGTATTTTGTGAACACAAGCTGTAAATTGTGTTGAAGAAGCACAGAAACGAACACATAACATGCGAAAATGAAATAAAGCAATGTTAATTAGAGAAAGCACACTTCATTTCATTTTGATTACAGTCAGTTTTTGATGAGAGAAATCGCATTAATATTGTTAGTTATCGTCATGCAATTAGTAAAACTCAAGGCTGATGCCACTATTTCACTCCACCGCTGGCCTTTTCCACCGAAAAATCATCCCTTAGTGAAACAACTGAGGCTGAATCCACCTACAGACGATCAAGCAAATATACGCTACGTGTTGTCAGGTGTTAAGTCGAAACCTAAGCAATCTGTGGTAGATTAGTTTTGCCTAGGCTGTATTACTGAAGCTGTATTAACTTTATTTAAGGACAAATCATGTGGCTCAGGACTGTCGATCATCTCCCAGTTTTGCTACGTACTTTACTGCATTCATCCGATGGTGATCACATTTCGGAACCAGAAATTAAGAATGATAACATGGTTAAATACAACTGCTGTTCGTATACTACTGTACAAAAGAGCGATCCCAATATGTCTCAGGATCACGATCCGACGCTCAAAATCCTTGATTCAGATAATTCTGTCGCATAATCTGTGATCAACGGAGATGTCTGTAATGGGTCTAGCGATGTGAAGCAACGTCAAACGATTTCGGACGAGCCTTATGTCATTTTCGAAGCTTTTGTCTACTCAAGCATTGCCGGCGAGGGAAAAATTGTAGGTGTCCAGTCAACACAACCAAACCTTTGGGACTCCTGAAACGCTACCGACAATCACACCCGCCACACATCTGTTGGTGTTAAAGGATAATCCCAAACTGGCAACAGAAGGTGAAACTCAATTAAAGTTCAATTAGATGAAATTTTCAATGTACAGGATAAAAAGAACCTTGATTTAAATCTCAAATTCGTTTAAGGATGCTGCCCTGCTCCTCAAAAGAAAAGAGAAAAAAATGCTGCTACTACTACTACTAATAATAATAATAATAATAAGTGAATGGACATTTCAAGTGCCGCATACTCGTAAAAGCCTGACACCAATGGCTCCCTTCTCAACTGGACGATCTGTTAAAGGTGGCTCTAGAAAAGACTTTTAGGAACCCAGACCTTCGCTGTTATGTTGAATTGTAAGAAAGTGCAAACAGGCCAAGTTGCCTAGGCTGCATTACTCTGTAACATTCTCACCGACACATGAAAAATTTTATCTAGATAACGCAGATGCTGCTTATCTATTTCTGAGTAAAGATATTTCAGAATGACATTTCCTGTGAAAATCCGGCAAAATGCATAACATTTGATAAATATTTAAAGAATGAATCAGACTCTCTTTCCCAATTTATGGAATTTCAATTTGCTACAAATGCAACCATTTCGCAAACTTCAAACATGAAATTTGGAAAATAGGAACAAAACAAAATGCTCCTTCGGGCCATTCTCCTCTTCATGGAATTTTCAACTAAGCTGGTTCAACGACGTGATCTAACTGTCCGACTTTGAAACCTCGACAAGGCGATTTGTGCACACGCATTGCCTTGGTAATCGGCACCTTGACAAGTGACAAATTTCTAGCAAAACACTATGGCCGTTTGAGACATTTGCAGTTTTCGATTGTGACTGTCCTTCAGTACCAACTGAAGTGTGGTGGGTGTGATTGGCGGCAGCGTTTCAGGAGTCTCAGAGCCTGGGTTGTGTTGACTGGACAGCTCCACTTTTTCCCTCAACGGCAATGCTTGTGTTGCGTATGATGGCATACCCTACGACACTCGTAGCACATCAATTCTCTAGACGTAAAAATCATGTGCAGTCGATCATTTGGATTCCGGCAATGTCATTGGCATGCTGTACTCTGATAAATCGTGCTGAGCGGTTCGTGGACTTCATTCACCTTTTGCAAGCATTTCCATTTTCAAGATAGGCCTGCCCATCGACCTCCTTCATTCAAGTGAATCGGCCAGTTCGTCGTGTTGAGCGCTCTGCTGGACATCAAACTCTATCTCTATACGTTACACTATTCAGGTTTTTAAAAAGTAATTAGCAAGTATTACCCACCTATTAAATCATTCGACGGAATCGGTAGAGTCACGTCCCCAATAAAACATGCACTTATGATTCGTGGAGTCACAGGGTGTTTGGTGCAATTACCAATTTACGTCGAGGCAAATAAACTCACTGCGTAGGGCAGAGTTTTAGATGATGATTTCAAACTCGCCTATCCAATTAAAGCACTTTGATCTGTTACCTGCACTACCCTGTCTGCGGCGTCGAACACAACCTTGGTGACATTCAATAGTTCAAACATTCTGTCCGAGAGGCATTAAATTGGCTTTGAGTGCCGTTGATTTTGATTGCATGCAAAACTCGTTCACTGATGTTGCAACCGTGAGTAATTAAACGTACTTCCAAAATATGCCTAGCGTGTCAACATTCAAAACTGGGCCAGTTTTTCACTCGTACGCAATGACAATATGTCAATGGCCAGAGCAATGTCTCGACAGTTATGTAGTGGCTAGAGAATTAGCACTACCTTACAACCCTCTCGTTAACAGGTCGTAACTACCCGAGGAAAGGGGGGAAAGGGGTGACAGAGAACACGACCGTTTATTAGCGTCAAACCAGCCAAGTGGCTTTGTGTACGTATGAGTACGCGTGCGTAACAGACGAATGCTGACAGTGTCCAATATCAAAAGGGGTGAGTCATTGGTCCACTCGGGCTCTCATGCACGCATCACTCACGCAAGGTGGCTGTCATTTCACCACAGTTACTCAACCAATTTTTCAGATTCGTGTCAGCTCCCTCTCTCCACCAGTCTGATTACAATCACTAGCAATGACGAAATGCGTGGCGATTAATAGTAGTGGTGATGAAATTCGAGGACCCCTCTCATATCCTCGATGTTTGTTAGCATAATTTATAACGGAGTAAACCTGTGAATTGCGGATTGGCGAAAACAACAGCCACTGCAACAACAACAACAGGAACGAATTGTCGCTACTTGTAGGTTGATTGCAGCGACTGCAACACGCGGCTTGCAAGTGCCTGCGATCCTGTTCCGTCGTAGCCACTTTCATTCGCATGAAATTTAAGCGGTGACGTTTCGACTTCGGCGTCAGAGTATCTTTTATCCTACTTCGAGGTTTCGTGAATCGCCACCAGACTATGTAGCCTCTCATTTACGACACAAAATACGATAACGTTTATCGGAAGCCTACATGTGGCTTGGTTGTGGATTACTCGCCAGACGGGCATTGTGCATGTTGACTTCGAGGTAAATGAATGGCTCATATTAAACAGTCCGCCTTTTGTAGACCAATCAGGTTCTCCTTGTTCTTGCGAATCAGTGAGGCTTTACACCAGAGTGAGTCATGAGACCTTAGTGCCTTCACAAAAGGTCAACTCACTAAAGGAGCAGCGAGTGTTTTGTGTGCATTTATCTTGCAATTCTACTGCTTTTTGTTTCGACACAAATCTAAGTGTTTGCCATTGTGATCATTGGATATCAGTAAAAACTCGGTGACATCTGACAGGACAATAATTTCTTTTTCCACATCAATAAAGTTCTTTTTATTTTTAACAGAAATTACACAAGCATTTGGTTTTTTACCGACCTTTGTCAATGCACGAAATTATCTCATTCGCAAATTGTCCTAAAGAACATTTCATAATCTATTGCCTATGTGATTGTCTCGCATTACTTGTTAGCTGGTGGTTGCATTAATCTTGTGGTTTGATTTTGTAAGGCTTGAATCACTGCCATTCGAAATTATTGCCTTAGGACGACGAGTAATGCGGTGACATCTAACATGCAACTTTCTCTCTAAGTCTCTCCATCACCTCTTCAGGTCATCTACGCCACATCAGCTTGCGCCTTGTCTATATCTTAAACTCTGTCGGCACATCCGCTTGTCTTCTTCTTCCTCATACTTCGTCTTGTTTATCGTTAATCTCTCTGCAGCAGTTGTAATGGGATTCTAAATCGACTTTATTCCCCAAAGTTTTCTGAGTCGCACTGTAACAATCGTTCCATCAGACGTGCTCGTGAGACCTACTCTTTCCAACACAACATCAAACACAGCTCCGCCAACTACTCAAATCCCAGACCTACATACTCAAGCATCTTGCAGCGTGCGGTTGGTGTCGGTGGAGTCGCCGTTGCTGCAATTGCTACTGTGGTACTAGCAGTGGATGCTTTTTGTCTTGTCCATGTTGATGTGGCTGTTTTTATTCGTGGCAGTCCGGCTTACTGTGTAGAAGTGTGATGGACGAAATGAATCTGTAGTGAAACTTGGTGATTCACGTCCAAAAGCCCGGTCGTCGCAGCCTCACACACACACGTCTCCCTTTTCACGGCGTGCCCGTCAGTCACTGGGACAGCCTGCTCATTCACCCCTCTGTGTGTACCACCGCCACCACCACCCGTTCTAGTCATGTGACCATTCAGATTTCTGTATTTCTACTAGTACACTCAACTGTGTCAGTCAACACAACTTGGTTGAGCTGTCTGGTAAACAATTGTGCCTCGTCCTCTCCGGTCTTCTTTGTCTTCGCGGGTACTCAGGCTAGCGTAAACGGCCTAGATTCGACTTGTAGTGGCTAGGTCTAGCACTACCTTACAACCCTCCAGTTAACAGCCCGAAACAACCCGAGAAAAGTGGAAAAAGAGGCGACAGAGGACACGACCGTTTATTAACGTCATGCCAACCAAGTGTGTCTTAGTGGATGGATGAGTGAACGGATGACAGGCATCTGATACAGTAACCAATGCAAAGGAGATGAGTCATTGTTACCGTCAGGTCGGTAACCAGGGTTCACTCAGGCGCAATCGCTGTTAATCCGCTACAGACTTAACGGCCCCGGCGTGGCTCTAGACAACATGTCGAGGTCCACAACAAATTCATAATACTTGTTTAAACATCGCTCTGAAGTGGC